GGTAATTAAATTAATCCAAAGAAGAAATTTCGTAATTCCCTTTTTGTTTCCATGTTCTAAAAATCTCAGAGCTTATACCCCTCTGATTAGACAAGACAAGTACGCCTCCACATTAAGGCCACAAATATGACAAATTTTACCTCAAAAATATCTTCTTTTTTTTTTTTTCTTCTTAATTCACCCGCAAACACTCTAGAAAGCATATGAACAATGGGATTGGCCTAGTGGATTGGAGGGAGAATCTATAGCACGTCTTTGCTGGCCACTAAGCTAGGCAATAAGTCGAGGAGTTGAGCTAACTTGCAACGAGAATATTTGATGTGTAAGTCAAAGTTTACGACCTAGAATAGAATATCACATGCCTTTAGAAATTGACGAGTCTTATTTACGTATACACTTTCTACTATCTTATTATCAATACTATATCCTGAATTGTAGAAAAAATTAGAGAAGAAAGTGGTGAGTACCTCAACTTGATTAGTATTTGGTAATGAGTTCAACAGGTTACTTGTCGCATACTCCTTGATTGTGCCTCCTTAGCTCGGTTACCTTGATAAGCCTCATCAGGGACTAGATTGTATGAGTGATTCACGTTGCCTATATAGTCAATGTAGACTACGTGCCTATAAGTTCCTAATCATTACCCATAAAATCCTCTGTTATCAAATCTCTATAATTGCATAAAATTTCATGAATATATAAAAGATTATTTACAATAATTCTAATTATCAACTATTCCAAAAGTAACTAAATTATAACTTTTATTTTATTTTATTTATTTATTATTATCATTTTTCAGCGGGTGAGGTGCAGTTGGGCACAACGCAACACGACAGCCAGGATTAAGCTGTGGATTACCTTTAAAAATATCAACCACCACCACCCACTCGCAGGACTGAGGGTGAAATTGTAATTTTCATGAGAGGAGAAGGACAAAATCGGAATAGAATCAAGATATAGGACATAGTGGCTCTTATATGGCCAGCTGGCACCGAATCAATGGATGCGGTGGTGAAGTCGAATTAATGTTCCTTTGATTTTGAAGGAAGAGGCAAACGTCGTAAGGACCACGGGGATGGAAAAAAATGCAACAAAATGCCAAGTCATTTTCCTATTTATTTAACCACTTTCATTCTCAAGTACATAAAAAAATTAAAAAAATAAATCGTTTTTCCAGTTCATACGCCATATATGAACACGTAGCTATTAATTTAATTAAAATTCATTACAAACGTAAGGTTTATAAAATGCAATTGTTTTAGAACTTAAAAAAATAATAATACAACTATGGCATATAAGAACATTAATATCCTTTAAAAAAAAAAAAAAGAAATTACGATTGATAACATATTTTTAAAATACTCTAAGAGTTCTATAAAAAAATTTAAAATTTTAAAAAGTATTTTTAAGACCGTACAAAATTTACCTGTATGGACCTGGCTTTCTTTCATTTTCCTTTTATATCGGCACACGTACTCATGGCGCCGTACACAGCAAATATATGAACAGTGTGTATCTAGTTGAAGTCCCCAAAAGAAAACATAAAATCAAGCTTCAAAAGACCAACAAAGAATATCTGTAATATGACAGTAGAACAAAGTAGAAACCCCTAATGGCAAATAAATATTATACTTCATCAGAAACCATGAACCTATCATCCTACAACTCTTAAACAACCATAGCAGCCATGAAGTTTACATAAAGAAGACTAGCCAAGAACCAAATCTTAATGCAAACAGCAACAAGGAGGCCAAAAATTTTGCTGCTTTCTATTCATCAAAAGAATCTATTTTGGGCCAATGTCCTTGAGAGCGCAGATTTGCTCCTCTCCCATTGAAGACATGACAGTCACAATCAGATCCTTCCCCTCCGCAAATCCATCCTTGATCTGCATGAAACACAAGGTAAAACACAATCAATCTTCAAAATTATGCCACTCATTGCCTATGGCAGCTATTGTTCTTCCGAATAAGACCCCGACGTGCAAGGAACGGAAAACTTGCAGATCAACATAAAATTATTTATCAAATAACTCCTTAATCAGCCCCCTAGAGGTTAGTACTAAGCACAAGATATCAATATTAGACACTCGTATAATTAGATTTGATCTTTATATAGAAAAGCTCCAAATGTGATTGGTTTGGAATCATGGGTTCTTCTTCTATCTATCTAATGATATGAAATCCAAACCCATAAGCATAATGGAGAGGGGGGATAAAAAACAGTCGGCCATCCACGTTTAGAACTCCAAACAAGTACCGGATAATATACTGTAAGGAGTGGAGGAAATAAATAGTTTCGCCCTAACAAGCAATGTGGTCTTCACAAGGCAATTAAAGACAAATTGAACACAGCAGGACAAGAAAATTGTACCTGGGACAGCAGACTCTCATCCGATGGAAGCCTCAGGTCATCCTTGGTGTTACCACTGTCCGTCAGCAGGCTAATCTGGGAAGTTTTCATTGAAATTAGAATTAGCTACAGTATTCAAAATGGATGGACGAGCAAGGGAAACTGATACAAAAATATAAAGAAAGAGAATTTGATCATACAAATCCATCCTCAGAGATATCAATGAGCTGGTAGTCAGTACGGTTGACATGGGGAACCTGTGTTTTACAATTACAAGAATCAGAAATCATAAACTTGCACAAATAAACCTACAACCTGCTGGAAAAGTATAAAACGGAAAGGAAAAAGAATCTTACATCACAGTTGTGTGAAGAAGGGACGATATCTTCAAGCTTTTTAGCGGTGAAAATGTCAATGGCAACAAAGTGGCATTTAGCATGTCCGTGCTTTCCCGTCTTTGAGGTTGAAACCTCAACAACCTACAAAACAGCAATGCGTAAGTCTTAGGCCAAGATTGCTAATTGAAGAACATAAATACAGCATAACAAATAATATGCAGAAACCACGAAAGACGAAAGCCCTAGAGAGAAACAGATCGAAATATGGTAGCTTCAAGCGATTCATTAGTTTCATTCTAGCAAACATGTGATCTATGGAAAAAAAATCTAAAAGTAAAATCATAGAAAATCAAAGAAACACAATTAACCGAAAATCACAGAACAAGATTGAATACAGAATAACCCTTGAAAAAGCTATATAAATAGGGCAACAAGAAAAGGAAAATTGAAGCAGAAGATATAACGCATAGATATCACATGTTAAACAAGAATTACATGGATAGATGGGGCAAAGAATGGGAGCAAATTGAGGAAAAGAATGAAAACAAAATAAACCTTGCAAGGCCTGCCCTTGATGACTATGTAACCATTCTTACGGATGGTTCCAGCCTGCTGTGGAAAAGTCTTGGAAGCTCCCGCGTCGGCCTTCGACTCAAAGTGGTGCTCCTCGTCCGACATGGCTCTGTATGAGAAAAGGTGCAAAGAGGAGAGTAGACAGAAAACTAATTAGGCTCAGAGACGTGCGCCAAGGGGGCAGACGAAAAGATGCGAATTTATATGCACGAGAAAAACGAAGAAGAAAAAAGGGGTAGTGAGAATCCTAGGGTTTCAAACATCAAAAACGCAAATAAATACCTTAGTCAGGATTATAAGATGAACCGTCCAAATTGATTTGACAAATATTAGATTACATTTTAATAATGTTATAGAACATTTATTCGATTAATTAAATATTTACATTTTTTAAACCATTAATATTAATTAAAAAAAAATGGAGTACTACTAATGGACCAGTGGCGGAATGGTGGTCTTCGAACTTTGGTTCAAAAGGTTGCATCGGCTTGGACAGAATTTTTACAGGTCGCGTAGGCTAAAACTAGGACAGAATTTTTACAGGTCGCGTAGGCTAAAACTAGAATGATCAATGGTTAAAGAGATCCATGGCTCAATTTGGGCTTATTTATAGGCTTGAAAGTCACACATATGCTCATTTAGGGAATGATCATGGATTTTAAGTGAGGAATACTAACAACATTGTTATTAGGTATTTTGGGGAAGTCCAACGCAAAGTCATGAGAACTTATGCTCAAAGTGAACAATATCATACCATTGTGGAGAGTCGTGTTCATTCTAACAACGTGGAGGTAGTGTAATTGACTCCAAATTTGAAAGTTGCGTGTTCGATTCAAAACCTTTTCCATTGTATATCCTCGTATCACTAGAACTAGAGTGACATATTCATAAGGGATCCGTGGCGCAATGGTAGTGCATCTGACTCCAGATCAGAAGGTTGCGTGTTTGGTTCACGTCGGGTTCAAATTCTTGTTTCCCACTTTTTCTAGCATTCCTTTTTTTGATAATACGAATCTTCCAAATTTAACCTTTACCATTGCATATTGGGATTGAGCTTAAATTATAAGCCACGTAGCACTAGGACTAGACTCACATATTGGTTAGGGATTTGTGGCGCAATGGTAGCGCATCTGACTCCAGATCAGAAGGTTGCGTGTTCGATTCACGTTGGGTTCAAATTCTTGTTTCCCACTTTTTCTAGCTAGCATTCCTTCTTTTGATAAAACGAATCTTCCAAATTTAACCTTTTCCATTGCATATTGGGATTGGGCTTAAATTATAGGCCACGTACACTAGAACTAGAGTCATATATTGGTAAGGAATCCATGATGCAATGGTAGTGCATTTGACTCCAGATCAAAAGGTTGCGTGTTCAATTCAGAATCTTCCAAATTTAACAGGTTCCATTGTATATTTGAATTTTGCTTAAATTATAGACCAGGTAGCACTAGAACTAGACTCATATGTTGGTAAGGGATTTGTGGTGCAATGGTAGCTCGTCTGCTCGTTTGACTCCAAATTAGTAGGTTGCGTGTTCGATTCATATCGGGTTCAAATTCTTGTTTCACATGGGATTGGGCTTAAATTATAGGCCACGTAACACTAGAACTAGACTCACATATTGGTAAGGGATCCGTGGCACAATGGTAGCACGTCTGACTCCAGTTCAAAAGGTTACCTGATTGAGCTTAAATTATAGGCCACGTAGAACTAGAACTAGACTCACATATTGGTAAGGGATCTGTGGCGCAATGGTAGTGCATTTGACTTCTGATCAAAAGGTTGCGTGTTCAATTCACGTCGGGTTCAAATTCTTGTTTCACACTTTTTCTCTATTTCTTCTTTTGATAATACCAATCTTCCAAATTTAATCTTTTCCATTGCATATTGGGATTGAGCTTAAATTATAGGCCACGTAGCACTAGAACTAGACTCACATATTGGTAAGGGATTCGTGGTGCAATGGTAGCGCGTTTGACTCCAGATCAAAAGGTTGCGTGTTCGATTCACTCAGCGTTCCTTCTTTCTTTTGATAATACGAATCTTCCAAATTTAACCTTTACCATTGCATGTTGAGATTGGGCTTAAATTATAGGCCACGTAGCACTAGAACTAGACTCACATATTGGTAAGGGATCTGTGGTGCAATGGTAGCGCGTCTGACTCCAGATCAGAAGGTTGCGTGTTCGATTCACGTCGGGTTCAAACTCTTGTTTTCCACTTTTTCCCTAGCATTCCTTCTCTTGATAATACGAATCTTCCAAATTTAACCTTTTCCATTACATATTGGGATTGGACTTAAATTATAGGCCACGTAGCACTAGAACTAGACTCACATATTGGTAAGGGATCCATGGTGCAATGGTAGCATGTCTGACTCTAGATTAGAAGGTTGGGTGTTCGATTCATGCTGGGTGTACCCTTTTTTGGGCTTAAATTATAGGCCACATATACTAGAACTAGACTCACATATTAGTAAGGGATTTGTGGTGCAATGGTAACACGTTTGACTCTAGATCAGAAGGTTGCGTGTTTGATTCACATTGGGTTCAAATTTTTGTTTCACACTTTTTCTCTATTCCTTCTTTTGATAATACCAATCTTCCAAATTTAACCTTTTCTATTGGGATTGGGCTTAAATTATAGGCCACGTAGCACTAGAACTAGACTCACATATTGGTAAGGGATTCGTGGCGCAATGGTAGCGCGTCTGACTCCAGATCAGAAGGTTGCGTGTTCGATTCACGCCGAGTTCAAATTCTTGTTTCCCTCTTTTTCTAGCATTCCTTTTTTTGATAATACGAATCTTCCAAATTTAACATTTTCCATTGCATATTAGTAGCGTGTCTGACTCCAGATTAGAAGGTTGCATGTTCGATTCACGTCGGGTTTGGGCTTAAATTATAGGCCACGTAGCACTAGAACTAGACTCACATATTGGTAAGGGATTCGTTGCGCAATGGTAGCGCGTCTGACTCCAGATCAGAAGGTTGTGTGTTCAATTCACGGTTCAAATTCTTGTTTCCCTCTTTTTCTAGCATTCCTTCTTTTGATAATACGAATCTTCCAAATTTAACATTTTCCATTGCATCTTGGTAGCGTGTCTGACTCCAGATCAGAAGGTTGCGTGTTCGATTCACGCCGAGTTCAAATTCTTGTTTCCCTCTTTTTCTAGCATTCCTTTTTTTGATATTACGAATCTTCCAAATTTAACATTTTCCATTGCATATTAGTAGCGTGTCTGACTCCAGATTAGAAGGTTGCATGTTCGATTCACGTCGGGTTTGGGCTTAAATTATAGGCCACGTAGAACTAGAACTAGACTCACATATTGGTAACGGATTCATGGCGTAATGGTAGCGCGTCTGACTCCAGATCAGAAGGTTGCGTGTTCGATTCACGCCGAGTTCAAATTCTTGTTTCCCTCTTTTTCTAGCATTCCTTTTTTTGATAATACGAATCTTCCAAATTTAACATTTTCCATTGCATATTAGTAGCGTGTCTGACTCCAGATTAGAAGGTTGCATGTTCGATTCACGTCGGGTTTGGGCTTAAATTATAGGCCACGTAGCACTAGAACTAGACTCACATATTGGTAACGGATTCATGGCGTAATGGTAGCGCGTCTGACTCCAGATCAGAAGGTTGCGTGTTCGATTCACGCCGAGTTCAAATTCTTGTTTCCCTCTTTTTCTAGCATTCCTTTTTTTGATATTACGAATCTTCCAAATTTAACATTTTCCATTGCATATTAGTAGCGTGTCTGACTCCAGATTAGAAGGTTGCATGTTCGATTCACGTCGGGTTTGGGCTTAAATTATAGGCCACGTAGCACTAGAACTAGACTCACATATTGGTAACGGATTCATGGCGTAATGGTAGCGCGTCTGACTCCAGATCAGAAGGTTGTGTGTTCAATTCACGTCGGGTTCAAATTCTTGTTTCCCACTTTTTCTAGCATTCCGTCTTTTGATAATACGAATCTTCCAAATTTAACCTTTTCCATTGCATATTGGGATTGGGCTTAAATTATAAGCCACGTAGCACTAGAACTAGACTCACATATTGGTAAGGGATTCGTGGCGCAATGGTAGCGCGTCTGACTCCAGATCAGAAGGTTGCGTGTTCGATTCACGCCGAGTTCAAATTCTTGTTTCCCTCTTTTTCTAGCATTCCTTTTTTTGATAATACGAATCTTCCAAATTTAACCTTTTCCATTGCATATTGGGATTGGGCTTAAATTATAGGCCACGTAGCACTAGAACTAGACTCACATATTGGTAAGGGATTCGTGGCGCAATGGTAGCGCGTCTGACTCCAGATCAGAAGGTTGTGTGTTCAATTCACGGTTCAAATTCTTGTTTCCCTCTTTTTCTAGCATTCCTTCTTTTGATAATACGAATCTTCCAAATTTAACATTTTCCATTGCATCTTGGTAGCGTGTCTGACTCCAGATCAGAAGGTTGCATGTTCGATTCACGTCGGGTTTGGGCTTAAATTATAGGCCACGTAGAACTAGAACTAGACTCACATATTGGTAACGGATTCATGGCGTAATGGTAGCACGTCTGACTCCAGATTAAAAGGTTGTGTGTTCAATTCACGTCGGGTTCAAATTCTTGTTTCCCACTTTTTCTAGCATTCCGTCTTTTGATAATACGAATCTTCCAAATTTAACCTTTTCCATTGCATATTGGGATTGGGCTTAAATTATAGGCCACGTAGCACTAGAACTAGACTCACATATTGGTAAGGGATTCGTGGCGCAATGGTAGCGCGTCTGACTCCAGATCAGAAGGTTGCGTGTTCGATTCACGCCGAGTTCAAATTCTTGTTTCCCTCTTTTTCTAGCATTCCTTTTTTTGATATTACGAATCTTCCAAATTTAACATTTTCCATTGCATATTAGTAGCGTGTCTGACTCCAGATTAGAAGGTTGCATGTTCGATTCACGTCGGGTTTGGGCTTAAATTATGGGCCACGTAGCACTAGAACTAGACTCACATATTGGTAAGGGATTCGTTGCACAATGGTAGCGCGTCTGACTCCAGATCAGAAGGTTGTGTGTTCAATTCACGGTTCAAATTCTTGTTTCCCTCTTTTTCTAGCATTCCTTCTTTTGATAATACGAATCTTCCAAATTTAACATTTTCCATTGCATCTTGGTAGCGTGTCTGACTCCAGATCAGAAGGTTGCATGTTCGATTCACGTCGGGTTTGGGCTTAAATTATAGGCCACGTAGAACTAGAACTAGACTCACATATTGGTAACGGATTCATGGCGTAATGGTAGCACGTCTGACTCCAGATCAAAAGGTTGTGTGTTCAATTCACGTCGGGTTCAAATTCTTGTTTCCCACTTTTTCTAGCATTCCGTCTTTTGATAATACGAATCTTCCAAATTTAACCTTTTCCGGGATTGGGCTTAAATTATAGGCCACGTAGCACTAGAACTAGACTCACATATTGGTAAGGGATCTGTGGCGCAATGGTAGCGCGTCTGACTCCAGATCAGAAGGTTGCGTGTTCGATTCACGCTGGGTTCAAATTTTTGTTTCCCTCTTTTTCTAGCATTCCATCTTTTGATAATACGAATCTTCCAACCCTCTTTTTCTAGCATTCCATCTTTTGATAATACGAATCTTCCAAATTTAACATTTTCCATTGCATCTTGGTAGCGTGTCTGACTCCAGATTAGAAAGTTGCATGTTCGATTCACGTCGGGTTTGGGCTTAAATTATAGGCCACGTAGAACTAGAACTAGACTCACATATTGGTAAGGGATCCATGGTGTAATGGTAGCACGTCTGACTCCAGATCAAAAGGTTGTGTGTTCAATTCACGTCGGGTTCAAATTCTTGTTTCCCACTTTTTCTAGCATTCCGTCTTTTGATAATACGAATCTTCCAAATTTAACATTTTCCATTGCATCTTGGTAGCGTGTCTGACTCCAGATCAGAAGGTTGTGTGTTCAATTCACGTCGGGTTCAAATTCTTGTTTCCCACTTTTTCTAGCATTCCGTCTTTTGATAATACGAATCTTCCAAATTTAACATTTTCCATTGCATCTTGGTAGCGTGTCTGACTCCAGATCAGAAGGTTGCATGTTCGATTCACGTCGGGTTTGGGCTTAAATTATAGGCCACGTAGAACTAGAACTAGACTCACATATTGGTAAGGGATCCATGGTGTAATGGTAGCACGTCTGACTCCAGATCAAAAGGTTGTGTGTTCAATTCATGTCGGGTTCAAATTCTTGTTGGATTGGGCTTAAATTATAGGCCACGTAGCACTAGAATTAGACNCACATATTGGTGGTAAGGGATCCATGGTGCAATGGTAGCGCGTCTGACTCCAGATCAGAAGGTTGTGTGTTCAATTTATGCTGGGTTCAAATTCTTGTTTCCTTCTTTTTCTAGCATTCCTTCTTTTGATAATACAAATCTTCCAAATTTAACCTTTTCCATTGCATATTGGGATTGGACTTAAATTATAGGCCACGTAGCACTAGAACTAGACTTACATATTGGTAAGGGATTCGTGGCGTAATGGTAGCGCGTCTAACTCCAAATCAGAAGGTTGCATGTTCTATTCACATCGGGTTCAAATTCTTGTTTCCCACTTTTTCTAGCATTCCTTCTGTTGATAATACGAATCTTCCAAATTTAACCTTTTCCATTGCATATTGGGATTGGACTTAAATTATAGGCCACGTAGCACTAGAACTAGACTTACATATTGGTAAGGGATCCATGGTGTAATGGTAGCGCGTCTGACTCCAGATCAGAAGGTTGTGTGTTCAATTCACGTTGGGTTCAAATTCTTGTTTCCCACTTTTTCTAGCATTCCTTCTTTTGATAATACGAATCTTCCAAATTTAACCTTTTCCATTGCATATTGGGTTTGGGCTTAAATTATAGGCCACGTAGAACTAGAACTAGACTCACATATTGGTAACGGATTCATGGCGTAATGGTAGCGCGTCTGACTCCAGATTAGAAGGTTGCATGTTTGATGTGTTCAAATTCTTGTTTCCCAATTTTTCTAGCCTTCCTTCATTTGATAATATGAATCTTCTATTTTAACATTTTCCATTGTATATTGGGATTGGGCTTAATTTATAGGTCACGTAGCACTAGAACTAGACTGACATATTGGTAAGGGATCTTTGGCACAATGGTAGCACGACTCCAGTTCAGAAGGTTGTGTGTTCTTTCCATTGTATATTGGGATTGGGCTTAATTTATAGGCCACTTAGCACTAGAACTAGAGTGACATATTGGTACGGGATCTGTGGCGCAATCGTAACGCGTCTGACTCCATATCAGAAGGTTGCGTGTTTTATACGGTTCAAATTTTTGTTTCACACTTTTTCTAGCATTCCTTCTTTTGATATTCCAAATTTAACCTTTTCTATAATTTATAGGCCGCATAGCAGTAGAACTAGAGTGGCATATTTTTATGGGATCCGTGGCGCAATGGTAGCACGTCTGACTCTAGATCATTGTATGTTCAATTCCGTGTTGCAGTAGTTGTCCTCCAACATCCTTGTTGAAAGATTCCAACACTGCCTTGTATTAAATATTATAAATAAATGTTCTAGGATAAAATCTAACATACCTTATACTATTCAGCCCAAGACATTAATCAACATACCTCAATCAGCTCAGGATTTTAAGGCTTCACGGTTTGGGATATTTGGGGCAGCAGACAGCGAGAAGAAAGCCAGAATGCAGTGTCTCGTCAATTTGCCAGCTTACCCTGTTGGAAATAAAATAAATATGGTCCGAATAACAATAAAATATACTACAAGAAGATAAAACAAAATGAAGTTTTTACTGCTTTAGTATTCATATATCAAAAATAAGACAGAGAGAGACATCTTTAACCACCGCGTTCCAGAACGTTCACGTTAATGGAACTAAGAATAAAGATTTCTTGGCTTAAGGATTTTGGTAATCGTTCATAATTTGTTGAGCTCTCAACATCTTGCAGGGAGATACTAGGTGCTCTCATTTTCATTTACCATGGTGTGCCATTTTTGGCTTCATTCCTATATTTCCAACTCTACTATGAACAAAACTAGAGAGGTCCACCTACATGAACCTCAAATTAAATAAAACCACTTTGCAAGTTTTCCAGAAGGCTCCTTTTGCTCTATTCTCTTTATCAATCCTCCTATCAAAAGTCTTAACTTCTTTAATGAAAGAACGAAAGATTAATGAGTGTTTACGAGTCTGATGCAAATAGATCGAAAAAAAAAAAAGAGCTCCAGCTTCTTATTACAAAGTGATACGCACAAGGCAATATTCAGTAAAATCTAAGCAAACGTGTCCGATTGTTTCCAGAACTAAAAATGAATTTAAGCAAGGTTTTTCAAATCTTCATAGATAGGCCTTCTAAGTTATGTATGCTTACGGTTCCGCCTAAAAAAGACCACATCAGGAGCAGCGCACCATCTACTCAAGTGACATTAAAATTTTTATAGGATAAACCAAACCGTCTCGCAACTATCAGAATACACAGTCTAAGCTATCTACATTATAGAAATTTAAACCTGACTCGGTGCCTTCAAGCAGCATCATGTATTGTTGAGTTCAAAATCGAGTCCAAAGCTTCAAATAAAATTAATAAACCCTGGAGAAGCAACTAAACAACTAATATTTGAACACTGCCATAAGAAATTAAGAAAGAAGCTAAGAACTACGATCCCGATATGATTTAGTCAATTAGCCAAAAGGCAAATCACAAAATCAAATTCCAGAAAGTAATGCTAATAACTAGCAAACTATAAACAATAGACATGTTCGATGTCACTTAAAATGCCGATCGCAAGGCTAACGACTAACCTAGTTCCTTATTCGGAACAGCTATGTCTATTCCATGCATTTGTTGGAGAAACTGAGATGCATTTGACGAATGGCAACAATCTCGGATGAAAATGAAGACAAGGAAGTGTATTATTAGAGAAATGAAGATGAGAGAGTTGTTTTTCAGACCTTAAGAGGATGAAGGGAGGTCGAAGGATGCCGTGGATGACAAGACCTAGTGTTGCAAAAGCCCTTGGATCTCCGGGAATCGCCATTTTCGAGTTTGGTTTTCTGTCCCCTGAATTCTTGTTTTCCCGCTCTTTCACTCCCCTCTCTTTGCTAGAAGGAACTATGAACCGCGTTACAACTTACCAGTGCCTGAACAACAGTCCTGTATCCGTAATTATTAAGAACATATTAAATATTGTTTGCAAATTTTAGTGATTTATTTGATATAAAACTAAAATTTTATAAATTTATTAAAATTGAAAGACTAAAATTATTTTATTTTTTATTTTTTTCAAAAAAAAAATAATAAAATAACTTTTGTTCTTTGAGCTCACAAAAAGTAAGAGCTCGAGCCCAAGGCTAGTTGATATTATCAGCTTTATTCAATAATATATTGATGTTTCTATCTCCTCTCCAACCGACGTGAAATCTCACAGTCTACCCCCTCTGGGGCCCGCATCAGCATCTTAGCTTGCTGGAGAAAGGTTTCCACATCTTATAAGAAATGTTTCGTTCTCTTCTCCAACCGTGAGATCTCACAATCTACCCCTCTAGGGGCCAGCATCACTATCTTCACTCGCATTCATGATACGCATCTATTAGAGAGAAATTTTCAAATCTTACAATGAATTTTTCGTTCCACTCTTCAACCGACGTGAGATTTCATGATACCATTGTAATAGTCCAAGGCCACCATTAGCAGATATTGTCCGCTTTAGCTTATTACATATCGATTTTTCTTTTACAAAAAAACCCTTTAGTTATCCGAGTTAGCAAAAGTAACATTTTTAGTCTAGCTTTAGAAAGTATTTATAAATGGTATGCAACTCTTCCACGAGATGCATTCCTTTCCCATCTATGAGTTGTGTTTATTCATCCAATGGTTAAAAGCCTTTTCATTTCCACAAATTGATAACAAGTTTTTAGAAGAGTCATGACTACAGAGAATCTATAAACCTCAATAAAACAATATCTATAAAGTTGACAAGATTAAGCTTTCTATATATTTGAACAATGCAGATTGAATAATGCAGCATATCTCAGCTTCGTACCTAACAGCAATGCACCATAGTTCGAATATCAGAATGCTTCTACCCTAACGGCATCACGGGGCTTATCATAGGCATCTTTCGATCTCGACTTCTTCACTCCTGCAATGAACCAGACCTTATCAGATTTGTAGCCCTCAACCGTCACGCTTGTCACTTTCACCCACACTAGGACCTTTGTCTTCATTCCTTCAATGCCTGTGAGCTTCCCTCTCTGAAGAGTTCCTTTAACCCGTGTTGCATATCGGATTACAGACGAATCCTTGAAGCTTATCTCGCAAACCGATGGTAAGTAGACGATCAGCTTCGACTTGGATTCATCAAATTCGTAGCAGGTTATGTTCTGAGGAAAGAGGCCGGGTGGTAAGTTGTACTCGCGAAGTAAATCTGGTAAGCTCTTCAATGGCTTTCCTGGGGGACGAAAAAGATATGATCAATCTTCAGCATTATGCTCACTTAAATCTCTTACAACTAAAAGATAGTTTACAAAACAAAAATATGCATAAAAGCGTTTAGAGACAATGTACAATCACATCTTGGAAATATAGCGCAGGCAAAATCCGGGTACTAGCTCATACAGAAAGGAACTCATTCAAAAGGAAAAGGAAAAACAATAGGAAACATCCTTGATAGAACTGAGTGGAATGACGATTTAGAAGGAAAAAGCGAAACCATGTCTTTACCACTAGCAAATATTATCCTTTTTAGACTTTTCCTTTTGAGCTTCACCACAAGGCTTTAGAACGCGTCTACTAGGGAGAGATTTTCACACCCTTATAAAGAATGTTTCGTTCCCCTCTCCAACCGATGTGGGATCTCACAATCGACCCCTTGGAGCCCAGCGTCCTCGCTAGCACATCGTCTAGTGTATAGCTATGATATCATTTGTAACAGCCCAAACTCACCACTAGCATAATTTTCCTCTTCGGGTTTTCCCTCTTGGGCTTCCCCTCAAAGTTTTAAAACACGTCTACTAGAGAGAGGTTTCCACGCCCTTATAAGGAATGTTTCGTTCCCCTCTCCAACCGATGTGGGATCTCACAACGATAACTATCACCATTCACAATTTCAGATAGATTAGATGCACCCCCATCTACCAAACAAGGCACTACCCAATGAGGGCTAATTCATAGGGACTTTTTGGAGAAGTTGAGAGGCTATGGTGGGGATTGTCCTGCACTTCGCTCATCAAAACCAGCATTAAGTATGCACTCATCCTGATATAAAATGAGATAATATGCGAGAAGTTACCTTTTAGCTTGTTGAAGATCCACTTTGCCTTCTCTTCAACAGTGCTTGAAAAAGTCTGCAATAAACAACAACATATATGAGATTCTAACCAAGTTCTAAGTTTAATGTTTGCCTACACAGAAATAGAAAGATAATCATCGTTTTAACTGATACCAATTGATAATTAACTGAAGGACCATTGCAAAAAGAGAAATCCTCACTTTTCACAGACAGATTCCAAATACTAACATTCTAGTACAGATCAAGGAGTCTTATCCCAATAGATTTTGGTTGATGAATATAATTAGTGGAAGAAACCAAATCCCAAGGTTTCTTTTCAATCAAACTGATGCAAACAACCAAATCCCAAGAAGCCTCATCAGTCCATTTTCACTTCAATCGTAACCCTGTCGCTTAATCCTCTGATTAGTGGAAGAAACCATCGGATCTCACCTTAATCTTGGTAATAAGCAATAATCAACGCAAAATCAGCACAAAATCCACAGACAATATCAATCAAATCGAGCTGCATTACTCAAATCGCGACAAACAAAAAGAAACTCAACACTCAAAATCAAAGAAAAACACAGGCAGCAGAGGGTACAATAAACGATCGAACGAGCGAACAAAATCAACAAACACAAAGAAGAAACAAAACGAGAAACTCACATGGAAATCGTCGGTGATATTAGCGAATTCCTCCTTGGCTTTCTTTGAAACCCACAAGCTCCCAACCTTCAAGCTGCTCACCTTGGTCAAAGCCTTCTCCATTTTCGCAGCTCGGACCGAGCTTCTCTTCCTCTAAAACACAGCGATGATAGAAGAAAACGGCTAAATGGGAGTACTGGAGCGAACGCGAGCCGCATCCATATATATAAATCTGAAGCTACCAAGAGAAAACAACGGCGCAACTGTCAAATGTGAATTGTGGCGCTCTAAATTCTGTTCCGCGCAGTTGCTAAGCAAGTGTCATGTGAATTGTTGTGAAATGGAATCGGAAGGGTAATTTGGTCATTTTAAAAATCAAAATTATAGTTTACAAAAATTATGGATAAATGAATATACCATCATAAAAAACCATAAATTAAATTAATTAATAATAGAATAATTTAAATTATAGAGACCAAACATTAAAGATACAAAAACATTATCAAACTCTATTATAAGTTTTTTGGGGCTAGATTATTTAAAAATTAAATTTTGTTTCAATAATATTCTTTAAAAATTCACAAAATAAAACTTTAACCGTCAATTCAAAATTTAATGATAAAAGTATATTTTTTAATATTTATAAAAAGTTAATGATATTATTGGATGATGAAGATGAGTTGGCACGTGGGTGAGCCGTCTCAGTATGGTTTACAGCTCAAAAGTTGATAAAGACACAGCCGCCTTCTGATGTTTCCATTTTTCTTTAATTTTATTTTGCCAATTTGCTACATTTCTCCAAAAATCATTTTTTAATATATTTAATTACACGATTAAAATAAATTTTTATTTTGTGTTTAATAAATTTTTGGATATTTATTTCCTTGTTTATATTTATTAGATCCAAATAATAAATTGTTTTTAGTAAAATCTAATTCATACATTATTTATTAGATATAAAATATAAAGTTTAAAAATGTATTAATTTCATCCTATTCGAAAGTATAGTTTAAGTATTAATTTAATTTAGTTTTTTTTTTTTTAAATAGTTCTACCTAATCAAAATGTTAAAAGAATTATTGATAAAAAAATAATGTAAGAGAATATTAATTATAACAATAATACACTGAAATAATTAATACATTTAAAATATAGATTCGAACAATAATACACTTACTTTTAACTTGAGAAAAATTATATATTTAGTTTTTAAACTTGTTTATTTAGGTCGATTTATGGACATTAATTTTATGTTTAAATAATTCAATTTAAAATATTATATATATTAAACGGAATGTAACACATGTTAAATTTAATACAATGATTATTCAAATTTACCCTTCAACCTAATAATTTAATAAAAGCTTGTGAAATGTATTATTTGTTTAGACAAGACAAGACAAGACAATTAAATGAGTTTATTTGAATAATGTTAAAAAGATTAAAATAAAAATTTCAGTTAAATAAAACTAACAAAACAGCTCAGATACTATTGTTTTTAAAACTTAAAAAGAAAAATGTATATCTGTATTTATAAAATTTTCCACCAAATTCATTATTGTCATAAAAAAACAAGAAATGAACCAAACTGGGTCCATAAATGGCAGTACCACAGCACAGTTTTTAAGGCTGTGAATGTAACAGACCCTAAAAACGACAACGCATTGGATCTGGTCGCTGAGATCGATCAGATAAGACGTCTAACTGCTCAATCACCACCGTACGATGTTGTACAGCTATTCTGACCAAAATATCCCCACCCTTCTTCTCTTATTCCGCTTTAGCCCTTTTCTTATTATTTTCCAACTAAATCTGGGCCGAAATAAAGCCCAATAATAAGATTTTAAAATTGGGCTACGAAAGGCCCATGTTGACTCTCCCAGCTGTCAGCTTAAGCTCGGCCATATTGACTGGACAACCCCCGCATATGTGGAAGGGAGCAATTAGGTGGGGCCCACTGGAAACAAACGACGCTTTCATGATTAGCGGTCAACCCTAGGATTTTTATACTTTACCAAACGGTGGGACCCACACAGAACATATTTTTTTTTCAAATAAATAAATAAAAAGAATTTTGTATTAGGGCTACTGTGTATGTAATGTACTACTACTCTATACGGGAGCCGTTCATGCAACCCTGGGAATAAAATCCTAAATACCCAATCAAAATTAACTCATTTGTTTTTTTTTCTTTTATTAGTATAATTAAGTTTTTTTTTTTGTATTTTCTTTAATTTATGGTAATAAGAATTTAACACGAGTGAAAATGACAAATCTGATTGCTGGGCCACGTCATAAGTTGGCTCTGGTGCATATGACATGTGAATTGGGACCCACAATAGCGATTACATTTGCCACCATAATCTTTAAAAAAAAAAAAACAGACATCTTTCCGGTTTAATTAATTATTGTGAAAAAAAGAAAATTGAAAAATATTATAATCAAATTAAATTTTTAAAATATGTATTTAAAATGGGAACGAAATCAAAATAGAATAAATTAGATAAATTAAAGTATTTGAATAATATTCATATTCTTATTTGAAATATGTCATAGAACCCATTGCATACATAATAAGAATTTTGGGATTTTTAAAATTTTAAATTATTTTAATATAAAATTAGAAGTATGAAGACCCAAAGATTTTTAAATTTAAAAAAATTAAAACTAAATTTGAAATTTTAATTGAACGAAAATAAAATCAAAACGGAAAAAAGAACATTTAATCTCAGCCGTTGAATGGAAGATGGAGAGAGACATATCGGAGGGTGGGAAAGGGAGTGGAGAAGAGTTACTGAAAAGGGCTTTAAAATTGTCTGTGGGGAAGGGGGATGGATAACGGGAAAGAGACGGATGGCGACGAAGAGCAGACTCGAAAGGCCGAATCCAGAAAATATATAATATTAAAAAATGAAAAATAATATTAATTTCAGATTCGAGCATGGGGACCACCGTCGTCATCGGAGGGGTATTTGTGTAAGAACAAATAAAATATGGGGGTGGTTTAGTAATTAGGTTGTTTGTAAATGAGGGGCAGAACGGGGAGAGAATTTGTAGGTGGCCTAGATTCGTGGACGGAAATCGACATGGGGATTTGAGAGCGGAGAGATTTTGATTGCTCGCTTGTTTGCAATTTTCGCCGCAATGCCCTTTTCGGAATTTGGACGGCGTGAAGCATGTGTACGGATTCGAATCGAATAATACCCTAATTTTCCATCGCATTCCTAACCTTTACAATTTACTAAAACACCCTTCCCCTTTCATCTTCTCTCCCCTATTGAAAATGCATCCTAATATGAATTGGGTTGATTTCAAAAAATCTTCAGACATGAGGTGACCAACCTAAACGGAAACAAAGTCCACAATCCAACTCTCTATTTTTTAATTGAGTTGTCGGGTTACTTTTTTATTTTTATTATTGTTATTTTAAAAGTATTGTTGTATCCACCGTACATATTACATTAATAACTAAAATCTCATGAAGTTACAATATTTAACGTTTACAAGTTAAACGCATTACTAGCATCAATTAGCAACGTTCAAATATTTTTTAAAATTGTATGAACACCTTTATTTGAAATTTATTTTATTGTAATATTTTTTTAAAAAAAAAATTATATATATATTAAATGAGGGAAATTGAAAAAATAGGGCATAAATTATAATGGAGAAATTAAGAAAAGTGGACTGAATTGAGTTTTAAGGGACAAAGAAAGGCCGACCAGAGTTGTGGGGAACTGACCGAGGCTCCACTTAACTCGGTTGCCAGTCTATCTATGCACAGGCATATAGCTGTTTTTATTTATTTATTTATTTATATTATTATTATTTAATCTTTAATAATTACGTGACGGCTAATTGTGTTATTCAAAAATTACAGTCTGGATTGTTACAATAGCTTAAAATCAACTTTTTAATTATTATTTATATACACAGTTTCCATCCTCGGCGCACAATAAATAAATAAATATTAAATTAAATGTATCCCATTTTATTATTATTATTTAAAGTATGTCTTTCTCTTCTGGTACATGGGAAAGTATGACTTTACCCATTAATAAAGTCCCCTTTTCCCCTCCTTCGAAGGGTATACTAGGAAATTACTTAATTAGGTTGAAACTTGAAACGTACATTTAATTTAATTAATTAAAATCGTTTCATACTTAAATTATCATTATTATTATTATTATTATTATTATTTTGTTATCAATTTAAATTTTAAAATACACCTTAGACATAAAAAAGGTGGGGTGAGTGGTGGGCCCACTCCCAGTCTTTGCCAAATATTCCTCCTTATTAGTTGCTTTGGAAAGACTCACTCATTTCCCATGAAATTGATAATAATCTTTCCAATGGGACCACTCTCTCTCTCTCTCTCTCTTGTTTATTTATTTATTTTTATTTTATTTTATGCAAAATAAATAAAATTTAAAATATCCTTTCAACCCATTTATTATAATAACTATATTCTAATCCCATTCCAAAGAGGCAATATCTACAAGCGGTGGATTTGGGTCGTTACAACAAGATGGTGTGCCAGTAAAAACGCTGAGCCCCAAAGGGAGGTGGATTTGGGGACGGTCCCACATCAATTGGAAGAAGGAAAGAGTGCCAACGAGGATGCTGGACCTCGAAGTGGGGTGGATTGTGATATCCCACATTAGTTGGGAAGGAGAACAAACCACCATTTACAAGAATGTGTGTTAAGGATATTTAGTAATAAATTATAGTTTACCATGTATATCATATTTGATATTTTATTATTAGCCTTATTACCATAGGTATTTTTGAACTCGGGGAAGTGGTGGGAACTGAATATCAGGCTTTTGAAACCGCTTATTAGGACTGATGACTTAGCCTAGTTATTTATACCTTTCTAGGCTAATGGATCCTAACTTGACTTTTGGTTCATAGGAAAAAAGTCAGATCTGACTTAGCCTCAAAAGTGGAGGATTCAATAGGAAGATGGATTAGTTGGTATTTGATTATAAATAAGATAACTTTCACCCAATTTAGGTGATTCTTATAATTTATTTGATTATAAATAAGATAATTTTCACACCATTTAGGTGTAGTGGATTAAACAAACATTTACAGTGTAGAAACCTTTCCTTAGTAAACGTGTTTTAAAGTCTTGAGGGGAGCTCGAAAAGGAAAACCCAATATCTAGTGAATCTAGATCATTGCATCTATTTTTTTATTTTAAATATTTATTTACTTATTTAAAACTTTAACATGGTAGGTGATAATATTAATTATTTTTTTTAATGAAAATATGTCTTAATTAATCAAATATTTATAGTTGGATATGATTTTAATAAGGGAACTTCCAACTTGAAAGTACAGAAAAGTAAACTTTAATTTAATTATATTTTTAAAGGATACATAAATTAATTATAAACATGAAAATATGGATTTATGGAAATTAACGAAATAAATATTGGAAAACTTTTATTAATAATTACATTAATATTGAGGCGGCATTAAGAATTGATATTTCCACTTTTCGGGCATCCCCAGATTGATGTGTGATTCTCCACGTCCCACCTCATTACCATTAGAAGAAGAGAAAGATGGGAGTTTTTGGGGCCATGGATTTGGACTTCACAGTTCACATGAACAAATGGCCCCACGCTAAGATGCATTGCTATTTTATTCATGCAATTCCATATCGCTACCATCTCGTTATGATTATTTAATAATCGAAAGTATAAACATAACTTAATCGACATAAAATATTTTATTTTGATAAAAAAAATAAATTTTATTGTAAAAATATTATTTTTACGAGGAATGTGTGATTTTTTTTATTAATTATATATATTTTGGAGCGAAATTTCAAATTTTTAACACAAAAAATTGGTTAAAATACAATAACTTTACTGCTCGAGATAATTACTTTTGCTTCCCGGAAATATTATAACATAAAAAATCAATTTTTTTCTACTCGAAAAAAATGTTTTATTTTTCAATAGTTGGCTTAAATGGAAAAAATTTCAAATATTTAATTAAAATTTTAGTTAGTATAATATTTATTTATTTATTTTTAAACATTAAATTACAATTTACAACTCAAAAATTTTAATTTATGAAAAAAATATACTTCTTAAAATTAATGAATATTCTAATTTAATTTTAGAAAAAATTATGAACTAATTTCATCTTATTATTTAATTTTTTTTAATTTTTTAAACACCCTAAGTAATATGATTAAATATAATAAAATGAGTGAAGTGAAAAATAAATATTAAATTCCAAAATAAAATGGCGTTTTTTTTTTCAGTACAAAATATTTTTTCATTTAATTAAAAAAAAACGGGAAAAAATAAAAATACTACGAAATAGAAATAGAAGGATTAAACATTCCACCAACCATGCCCATGGGAACGTGCCACGTGGGCTGTTAAAGTCGTATCTTGAACGACGTGTCAGTTTATCTTCCAAATTTATCAATTATGTAATATAATTTCCTTAAAAAACTTCCAGCTGCTCAAAACAAAATAGAGGAGAATTCAGCAGTGCCATTTTCGTAATTCTGTGTAATCCGATGGGCATTTTATAACAAAACTCAAATAAACCTCATCCTTCTCACAGTATCAGCTGGACCCCACCCTTGTCTGTTGCATTAGCCGATCAAACGCTGTAAATTACCAAATAATTTCACTTCATTTTCTAATATTAATTTTTTAACCCCTAATTATCTAAATTTTCTAATAATTATCTTTCCTCGCTTTGGAGGACTATTAGCACAACTAAGTTTAGGATATGACTTTGATATCGTGTTAGACGAATACGACTCTCTACAATGGTATGATATTGTCCACTTTGAACATAAACTTTCATAGCTTATCCTTCCAATATAGACAGTATTATTTGATTATAAACTCATGATCATTCACTAAATTAGTCAATGTGAAATTTTCATCATCCAACCGTAATCGATGGAAATATTTTCATTATACAAAATGTAATAATAATTAATGAGGAGAGTGGAATTTAAAAATTTCATTAAAATTAAAAAAATAATTAATTCTGAGTAGGATTCAACCACTGCACAAACAAAAATAATTTTATTTTGTTGATGAAAAAAAAAAGAATGGATATGTTTACATATTTAAGCGAATAAAAAATAGTTAGAAATTTAGGATAAAATATTAAATTAATATATGCACCAAAAGCAAGGAAGGTGGAGAGAATCTAGAAAATGCCCATTTCTTTTTGTTTACTTCAATATATGAGAGAGAGAAAAGAGTAATTTTAATTTTTAATTTTTTTTTATAGAAATTCCAAAAAAGTAAAATATGTTTGGGAGAGAGAGGAAGTGAAGAAAAAGCAGAGAATAAAAAGAGACCGGATGTTGACAAATTTCAGGTCACTGTTCTTAGAAGGTTGTTCGTTTGTGTGAAGATTTCTTATCTGGGATCTCTCTCTTTTCTCTTCTCCAAAAAATTAAAATCAACGAGCTTCTTTTCTTCAATCCATTTCTCTCTCCCTCCCTCAAAATTCTCTCGGTTCTTTACGTTTAGAGAGAGAGAGAGAGAGAGAGAGTGGCCCAGCAGATCGAAAATCTCCTCCTCTTTCTCCACCCCGATGACGATCTAACCTCTCTCTCTCACTGCTGTTTTATACAATTTCTTATTGCCTTCTTTTTCCTTCTTTGATGCTCGGACTCTCGCGCTCTTAATTTTCGCTTTCTCTTAAGGTCTTGCGTTAATGGCTGAATCCCTGAAGGGTTCTTGAGCTCTCGAATCGGACGATGTGGGTTTAAGGTAATTTTCCCATCTATTCATCTTTTAATTTCATTTATCGGCTTCTTTTCGATTCCGATGATTCCTTTTTCGTAGGTTTTCTTAATTTCCTGTTCTGTGGTTTTCTTAATCATGTTTTACTTGTGAACTGTTTCCCAATTATAAATTTGAGGATTCCACTGCTTGTGTTTTGCTGGTAATTGCCCTGGATTGTGGCTCCTACATTTGGGGATTTGTTTGTTGAGATTTGGAGATGATGTTCATATGTGGCTGTGGGGAGAATCGATTTGTTTCGTTTTGATCGTGATTTGTTGAGTCCGGGAGGATTTAACTGCATCATGGCTGTAATTTTTTGAGTGCTCTTGGTCGTTTTCTGCTTTTTGTTCTCTGGTTTGAAGCATTTTCATGGATTTTCAGCGATCCATTTCTTCCTGCTTTGAAGTTAAGATAAGGGACTAATTTACTGCTTCTGTGTAACTAGACACTTGAGATGGCTGTAATTTTTTGATGCTCAATGCTGTAATTCTTTAGCTGCTGGTGTACACTTTCTTAGCAACTGATCTGAACTACTCAGTTGAATTACTCCATGAGTTGTTACTGAGTAATAAGTAGCTTCTTCGAGTTGAAGACGGTTGCCATTAAGTCCCTAGCTTGTGAACAGTATTCTGGTGCTTGAAATAGTTGGTTTATTGGTGTGTGAAGAAGGTTCGTGCGTATATTGCGAAAACTCGTCTGGAGCATACTAACCACTACCTCTTACTTGACACTGATTTTCTTGAGAGCACATTTTCTGCAAAAGATCCCTATTCATTTGTGTAGAAAGCGTCTTATCTGCTCCCATTATAGTGTTGCTTTAGAGTGGCATCCGTGCATGCTTAGTGGTTATCAAACTGACGAATTGAACTTCGTTAGGACTTGGATATACTAATTTGGTTGAGCATTGTATCATTTGCTGGTAGATGTTTTATGTCAATTGCTGAAGAGTTTCTTCCAATGTTCTTGGATATTGGAGCAATTCATTTTTATATTTGTGCCAAAGCAATTTGCTTGGGTATGGTAGTAAGAGGACGGCTGTTTGATTCTATAATGATATCTCTGTAAGAACCAATTGGTCTAACAAGAAACCCGATTATAGTTTTTCTACGTGTTTCACTCAAAATCTTCTGTTCGAAATACCTACAAGTTGCCCGACCCCCCAAATAACTCTTCCTTTAGGACATTATTCTCACCTCTCGAGTTGACGAATCCCTATATCTAAATCATCTTTTGGGTCTTACTATATTATACAAGACCATGAGTGATCATTCTGGCGTTAGTATAAACTACAGAAGAAACCTGTGTGACTTGGTTAACATGGACTGTTCAGATCCAAAACTAGTATGCAATATTCTTGTGGTCCACATGTGCTATCTCTTTAACGTTGAGCCTAGAGAGTATAATCTCGATGTTGAAAATGGGAGGATGGTGAGATTTTGTCTACAAGGAATATCCTTCAAGGTAAGCTCGGAGGACGCATTCGATTTGGAGAGGCATTATCTGGACTAAAGGATTACCAGCACCTTGGAGAATAGAAGAAGCATCTGCTATAGGGAGAACAAAATAATGAGAGCCCTCAGGACTTCAATTTTTTACCTTTTCTAAGAAAAACCATCCAATTGCTCGTTTTGTTACCTACCGATAACGACGTTATCTCGTGTCTCAATTTGTCCCCAACCATTTAGATGCCCAAGTCAATGACCATACTTCCAAAGTTGAAGTTCGATGTCCTTGTTTCTGGCTTGACTTATGCTTTTAGCTTAGAGATTATTTTTTATATCACGGTAGAATCGAGATGCGCTCTTATGAATACCCATTTATTATCTAATACATCCATGTGAAGGTCTGCTTTAGATTTGCTAATAGTCATGTTTCTAATAGACCCTGTTCATTATGAATACATAACAATTCAATGAATCTTCATTGACTCAGGAATGGGAACAAAAGTGCAGTATGAAAGTTATTTGCCAGGTTATCATTCAATGAGGGATCTGAATGAAGATTCTCATGGTTGTAGCTGGCCATTATATTATGGTGAAAAAGCGTGTCAGAGCGGCCAATATTATAATGGAATTTTTCCAAGAGCTACCTCAGATGCATATCTAGGCTGTGATAGAGATGCTGTGAAGAGGACAATGCTTGAGCATGACGCCCTATTCAGGAGCCAGGTAACATTCGTTCCGATTGTTTCTTTGAACTTCTGTTGTTATGCTCACATTGTTTTTTGAGTTTTCCATCTTTTGTCATCGAGCAGGTTCGTGAACTGCATCGGTTATATATAAAACAAAGAGAGTTAATGAACGATATTAAAAGATCGGAACACAGACACCCAATGCCAATTGACATATCGTTCTCCTCTAGTCCTCTAGCATCTCAAAGTATGCCTGAGGGTGCGAGGAAATGGCATCTCCCAAGCTTTCCTCTTGCAAATTCTTCCAGTGGTAGACCATCTGCACCTTGCATTGAAGATGTAAAATCATCTTTAAGTTCTTTGAAAGAAAACAATAGAAGCGGTCTCTTACCATCCCAAAACGGAACTAGTTCAAAAGACTGCGAGGTACTAGAATCCAGACCCTCAAAGTTTCGGAGGAAAACATTCGATCTTCAACTTCCAGCAGACGAGTACGCTGATAGCGAAGAAGGGGAGGTATTTCATGATGAAAAAGTGCACCCCATGCTGGGTTGCCATTCAAATGGTAACAAGAAATGTGAGCCTCAGAGTTCTGTGAATCCTGGTGAAAAAAGTGCTGCTTTGAGATCTGACTCGAGTTTGTGGAACAAATGTGGTTTAGCTGACTTAAACGAGCCCATTCAGGTTGAAGAGGCAAATGGGTCCAATTTTTTCGATCTTCCTAGTGCTCGTGACTCCAGCAATGGGGAGACTCAAGGCCCCGTTCCGTCCTATACGAAGCAAGAAATCTTTCCGTGCTCTAGTAATGAAGGTGGACATGCAATGAATAGGAATTCGTATATTGAGAACGGAAAAAGAAGGGAGGCATTCCCCAACATCTTTAAAGCAGGTATTATTTCTTCTTTATATTGCATGAACATTCTTAAAACTTTCATGCGATGAAATCTGAAAAGTTGATATCATATTTTATTTCAGGTCGTAGTAAAGAGAGTGAGAAACCTTTTACTCATGGTCAGATGGAAAAGTTCCATATATCTTCTAATCCAATGCAAGTTCCACTTAACAAGTTTCATGAACTTCCAGTCTTCTATCTCAATGATAAAAGCAAGGTTCATCAGGAGTTGGACTGGCCAGTTAATGATTTGCAATTGTCCAAAAGAGGTTATGAAATGTCGAATGCTGGAGATCCCGGTTATCGTCTAGCTTCTCAGACGTCTTGTACATATCCAATCGCTCCTTCTGACATGGGCAAGTCTTGGGCTCAGTCTGGTTCGTCTTGGGAAAAGCCGAATGGCAACAGCTCCCAAAAGTCGACATTATTTCATACACAGCCGTCCTTGAAATCGTCTGCTGGCGTTCACAAGATTTTACATTCATCATCATCTCAGAATAATGGAATTTTTGGAGATAGATGGAATTTGAGTAGTGGGTCAAGATCAAACCCGGGGTCTGGTTGTGAAACTCCTTACCGGAATGGATTTTATCTCGGGCCTACCTCTGGTTCCAAAGGTACCATAAGGCATGACCATGTGACCAACTATTACAATGGCTCGGGTTGTGTGGGCACGAATTCTCCTAGAGACATTAACTTGAATGTAGTGCTCTCAAAAACCTTATCTAATGAGGCAGGTCAACAACTGAATTACAGAACCAGAGAGGCAGAACAAAAGAATGAGGACCATCATAATGTATTACCATGGTCGAGAGCTGTGCCTGCTCGTAAGAATGAAACGATCGATTCAAGAAGATTCTCTATGACTGGAGAGCTTAATTTTGTGCTCTCTCCAAAGAATCAGTTTTCAGACAGAAATGGAACTGAAAATGGCAGTAAAGTTATATGTTATCCGAACATCGAGTCGAATTCACGTTGTAGTAACATTGAGCCCAGAAGGTTGGAACATGGTGAATGCCAGAGTAACAAAAAACTTCTTGGGTTTCCCATTTTTGAAGGGCCACATGTTTCTAAGAATGAGTCGTTTTCTCTTACATCCCCGTCGGTACCTTTTCCTAATCCATCCGAGAATGACGTGAAAGATAACCAGAAAACTAGAGTATTTGATATCAATTTGCCTTCTGATCCTTCAGTTTTCGAGTCAGATAACGTTACTACTGGATCTCTGACCGTTAGAAATGGAAATGACGCGAAAATTTCTACTGTTAGAGTTAATATTGATTTGAACTCGTGTGTCGACGATGAAGAAGCATCTATGACACCTCTACCTCTGGCTTCTTCGAGTGCCAAGGAAAAGGTTGTGATAGATATAGATTTAGAAGCCCCGGCAATGCCCGAAACTGAAGACGATATCGATGCAGATGAACAGCAATCACAATCTCCTCAGCATAAGGCTGTTGATATTCAGGACGATCTTATGGCTGTTGCAGCAGATGCAATAGTTGCCATCTCTTCTTGTGGGCCTTCCTGTCATTTGAACGATAATGTTAGCAACGTGTTGGAACATTCTTCGAGCGATCTCCTAAATTGGTTTGCCGAGATCGTTTCCACACGAGGGGACGATGTACAGGTCACGTCCGATACTGTATTGAGAGCCAAAGATGACAAGAATAATGAGGAAACCGCTCTGAGAGGGATTGATTACTTTGAATACATGACATTGAGGCTAGCAGAGGTCGGTGAAGAAGACTACATGCCGAAGCCCCTGCTTCCGGAAAGTATGGAAATCGAAGCTTCTGGAACCAATTTGTTACAAAATCGACCCCGAAAGGGCCAGACGAGGAGAGGAAGGCAGCGGAGGGACTTCCAGAAGGACATCCTTCCAGGCCTTTCCTCTCTATCCAGACATGAGGTTACAGAAGATCTTCAAACATTTGGTGGCCTAATGCGAGCAACAGGCCACTCTTGGCATTGCGGAGTTACGAGGAGGAACTCTACTAGAAATGGTTGCGGTAGGGGAAGACGACGATCGGTGATCAGTCCCCCGGCCCCTGTGCATTCAGCAGCATGTAATCAGCTGATACAGCAACTAAGTAACATTGAAATGGGTCTGGAGGATGGAAGCCTGACTGGTTGGGGCAAGACAACTAGACGACCCCGTCGACAGAGATGCCCGGCTGGTAATCCTCCACCCGTTCCTTTAACTTAATCAACGATAGGAGGCTTTGATTTATTAACTGAGGGCGAGCACGAGCACGATGTTATAGAGGAAAGCTGGGAAGTTTATTTGTATGTCTGTAGGTCCCCTCCTCCTCCCCCACACCGCTCTTTGTACATTTGATAGCTGAAGATTTGGGTTCTAGATGCCTTTGGGTGTTTGCCAATACTGTATTATTCATAAATAATGCTTTTATGATGATTTGTTCCTGCTGGATATACACCACCAGTTTTCGGAGCTAATTCGCACTTTGCTTTCGGTTTTGATGTGCTTCTATTCCCAGTGAACTACCCGACTTTTGACGAGCGCTAAGCTGATGAAAGGATTATAGATTATTCCATTTCTAAAAAGAAACGAGCTACTCATATAGAGAAAATGGCTTCGAAATTTACTTTTATTGCTCAAATTATCTAACATTTGATGAACAAAAGGGATCTAATAAACTTCTTATTATTATTACTTTGGTAATTAGGAAGAGTGAGAACACGCGCGTGGGTGGCGCGTGGGTGAAAGCAAAAGAAACATAAGGGAAAGAAGATGTTGGATTTGGTGGTACAGACAAATTTTCTAATAGAAATGAGAGTGGGTCCCACCCAAGCTCTTGTCGTCCAATTACATTCTTTCTTTTCCTCATTCTCATGCATCCTGTTGTGGTCCGTCCCTTCTCACACTTCTGTCACGTGTTCCCTCCTTTTCCATTTATTCTTTTAATATTCTTTTCTACCATATTTGATGCTTATATTTATTTTCATTATTTTATTGGAATATTTACATTTTATAGCATGTGTTAAGATATGTCTATTTTAATAAATCAAAATAAATAAAAAAAATTCAACTCAATCTTTTTGATTTAGATTGATAGCCCTAATTAATATAATGAATATGTTTATTGAGTGATACTAAACATCTAAATAAAATAAAATTAAAAAAATTAAGTTTTTTTTTTAGGGTAATATCCCATAATATATTTTTAAAGTTTTAAATGTCCTAAAATTTTGTTCCATCTTAATAATAATAAATAAAAATATTCTGACTAAGGAAATAGATCTCAAGATATTATTACTCAATAAAGAGAAATAAGCTATGATTAACCAGCTATTATAAACTAACTAAATCTTGAAAATAAAATAACTAATACATTCGGGACTAATTCATCTTCAGCTTCTCGTTTGGAGATCTGACACCTAGAAATAGGGGCGAGCATCTTCCGGCCGTTGAGTGGCGCAAGCAGGGGGCATTAAGAGATAAGTGAGAAGAAGTTCAGCGGGACTCACAGAGGGGAGTAGATGGCCGGCGGTGGCGGTTGAGAAGAGAGCCACGTGAATTTGGCGGCGGAAAGTTGGTCGGAGTCCGCCATTGCAGGCGAAAGCTAGAGCTGTAGAATGGAATTAGATAAAAAAAAATAAGAAGTTGAAATTAAAGTGAGTAGAAATGAGAAATTAAAAGTGGAAATGAAAGGAGAAATTAAGAAAGAGGTGAACAGAGTGCTCCCAAAGGGGTGACCTGAGAACACAAACACCACTTTTAATCCAAAATGCTGTTTGTGCTCTCTGGTTCACTCCTCTGGGATTACCATCTATTCTCTGTTTTTCTTCTTTTTTGCATTTCACTCCCTCCCTTTCTTTCTCCTTTTAAATTACTTTTAAAATTCATTTTGCAACCATGTCCTCATTCTCTCAACACTCCAAATGTCCTCATCATGTCCTCATCATCTTCACATGGATTTTCCTAGATGCCCCTCTTCCATTTCTCGATTTTTGTAAATGCCCAATTCCATTAGCGGTATACATGGGTCGGCTTAAATTTTCTCTTACCAACCTGAGTTAGTTGAGTCAGTGACCTGAATCGAGCACATAGCTCACAACCCAATTTCACAGCTCAATGTACTTACCTCTAATAAATCTCATCACTAACTTAAAAATAGGATCGAGTTTGAGTTGGTTGGATTGATTTAATTGAAAAAAAATTCAACCAGATTAGGTTTTTAGAACAATAACAACACCTAATTTTTCATAAATGCCCCTTCCATGTCATTATTTTCAGGAATACCCTCACTCCAATGTAACCACTATTTTAGGGTATAACTGAAAAGACATCTCGAAAATGGACCAAGCCCAAGTGAAGAAATTGAAAATGAAACATTAAATGGGTCAAAATTTACAACTAAAGCCCATTTCGAAAATGGCCCAAGCCCAATTAAGGCCCAGTTACATCTGGGCTTGCCGACATGGTCGTTTGGAGTATTTATGATATTAAATATGAGAAGGACAACACCCACGTAACCCACTCTGAAGATCTTTAAAGGCTTTCCCTGTTCCACAATTTTATTGAATTAATATCTGCAACTCTCTCAATTTCAAGCCACTCATTTTTCTTCAAATAATTTATTATTTTTTTTATAATTTTTACCAATATCCATATCCACTTTGCCTCTATATAATTTGGTGAAAGAACCCAACCGTTTTCAATTTCGTATCCATTTTAACAATCATGGATTTCTTGTCTAAACTCAGCGGCTCTGCCGACAAGCCACAGGACCAAAATCCAGACAACCACAAGCCATCAGCTTCCGAGCTCTTGTCCAGCGCCAGGATGGTCGCTGACGCTGCCAAGTCCTCTTTCGGCGGAAGCGGCGGCGAGGTGGACAAGGGCAAAGCTGCCGGAGCAGGCGCTGACCTGCTTGGAGCGGCTTCGGATTACGGCAAATTGGATGAAACCAAGGGAGTTGGTAAGTATATTAACCAGGCTGAGGAGTATCTCAATAAGTATGAGAAGTCTCATTCTGCCACTCCTGTTCCCGCTGCCGAGCCAAAACCGGCTGAGCCGCCGAAGAAGGAGGAGTCCGGCGAGAAGGAAGGCGGAGGATCTGGGTTTGGGGATTACATGAAGGTGGCTGAAGGTTTCTTGAAGAAATGACCCTCTTTTGCAATTGGGTCCTTCTCCTTTTATGTGGTTGTTCTTGTTGCTCTGTTTTTGTGTAATTCTGTAAATAAGGGTTTGCATTTACTGCTAAAACCTATCATAAATGTGTTCTCTGTAGGCTACCAGTTATGTTCTATGTTTAACCCACAATTTATATGTTTGATTTGTGTTTCTTATCTTGTTATCAACAAAATCGAAATTCAGCAGGGGTGTGACCCTCACGTTGTGATAAGAGAAGCTGCGACCCTCACGTGACGCCTATCCGGTCACGCGAGGAGCTAGATGAGTGCCATGATGCGACCAATAAAGATCAAAATGTTGAACGGTTAAAAAAATAGGACCGTGATACTCGGTATCCCTCTTGGTTGGCATAATAATGAAAGAGAGTGTTAAGAAACAAAAACATACCCTTCAATTTCGGAAGGTTCGAGATGGTCATAGAGTCCCTTGTAGACTTTATTTCACAGGCCGTCACTATCAATACTCTTGCTCGTCTTTTCTTTTATGAAAATCATTGGATTTTAGAGTTTTTAGGAAATTCAAATAGCTTGTGAAGCTAAAAACAGAGGAATTTCATCACTATGAACAGAGTAATAAAGAGAACCAACAAATTAAACGATGAAAACAGAGTAAAACAGAGAACCCATTTGAAAGCAACACGAATTACTGGTTATTTTTGTTCACAGGGCAATCATTCAGTAATGTGCACACAAAAAGAAGAAAAAAAGAAGTCAAATCATTACAGTTTGATGTGGTCAACAAAGTGATTACGAAGTTTGATAATGTAGTTCGTTAGTGTTCAGCAGCAGGAACAAGAAACAGGGAGGTCCCCTGTTTGTCTGATAATATCTGCTTTTTGATTAGCTTTAAGAATATCATTTCTTCGCTTTCGATCGGCTTTGGCTCTTGCTTCTTCTGCAATTTGCTTTATAAAATCCATGTCTTCCTCGAATTTCTTTCTTCCTTTTTCCCTCTTCGACCTCTTCACGCCCGCAGCCTTCAACGTTTAAACATTATTAAACAATTAGTTTCTCTGTAAATGAAACGCACTTTAAACACAGAGATAAACTGATTATGAACCTGTGATTCATCGTATTTCCTCATGGCTTTGTCCCTCTTCTTTCTTTCCCAGTAAGATACTGTCTCGATCACTTTATGGAATCTGAAACGTTTCCTCCAAATGTTTAAAAAACAGTAAGTTTATTTCATTAATCCAAAAGTTTCGAGTTTACCTCTCGTTGATTTTTGCCATCTCAGTCTTTTCCCACTGATCTGCTTTTGTTTCTCTTGAATCATAAGGTATGGTTTGGGTTGGGTGTGGTTTTTGTGGGTCGGTCGGCCGAGTAAATGGAGTTGGAGGTCTTGGGACTACCGCTGGTTTCTCTGGTTTCTCTGGTTCTGTTCTTCGGCGGCCGGAGATGTCTGCTGGTTTCTCTGGTTCTGTTCTTTGGCTGCCGGAGATGCCTGCTGGTTTCTCTGGTTCTGCTCTTCGGCCGCCGGAGATGTTTGATGGTTTCTCTGGTTTCTCTGGTTCTGTTCTTCGGCTGCCGGAGATGTCTGGTTTGTTGCCGGAAAAAGCTGTCTCTTTGAAGTATGGATAGCTACCGGGATCGGTTGTCTTTTCCGTTGGTTTCTGTTTTGGTTGTTCGTGGGTCACTGACACATTCCTTCCTGGGCTTTCTTCAGGATCTTGCAGAAGATCTTTATCTAACACAAACCATTCAAATCCAAATTTGGCTTTAAAATCAGAGCATACGATTTTCATAAAAAATAATCATTTTTATTTAATAATGAATCCAACCATAATTATTTTGGTTCAATTGTTTATTAATGTTTTTTATTGGAATATAAGTAAGATTTTATTAGTAAAACACGATTTTGTTGGTTTTTAAATTTTTAATTAAGATTTACAACCTAATTTCAAAATTTTAATATATGTTTTAAAAATTATATTAAAATATAAATAATTATTGTGAATAAATAGTAAAAAAAATATATAATTATATTTTTTTAAAATTAACAATTTAATATAATCTAGAAAGTTTATAAGGTTTTCGGTCATTTAAGCTTAAATAAGTTTTAAACCCAACCCAAATCGCATTGGTTTTTCTGTAATTTGTTTTAACCTTCCTAATTTTTTATTTTTTAATATTTTTGAATTATATTATCATGTTTTTTATAAATTTAAAATTGGTTTCAAAATAAGTTTCAATATTAATTACTTATCTTAGGCGGATGAATTATGTGGAGAAATGTAAAGTAAAAGTAACCTATCAACGTCTGCAGGTAAAAAAAATTGTTACCTATTAACGGCCGGGAAAGCTTAGCGGGTTCCGGCGCCGGACGAGGAGTGGGGGGGCGATTGTCTTCCTTGAGGTGTGTAAACTTTGGGAACGACGACGTTCCAGGATAATCGGCATTCTTTTTGCGTCTCGCGATTTCTGAATTCTGAAAGGAATGAATTGCGTAGGCGGCGGCGGCTACGGCGGTTACACGCTCTATTTCGTCGTCGGAAAATTCATTCCCTCGACTCATTTGCTGCAAAAATTGCCTTCCCAACCAGCCGGCCGTTGTTTTCTCTGCACAAAATAAACAATAAACATTTCTTAAAAACGACGTCGCTTCTGTGTTCTATTTTTCAAACATTTTAGGATTTAAACTTTAACACGCTATCATTTTCACTTTATTATTAATCACATGAACGCTACATTTGTGTTACCTTTACATTTGTTTCCTCTCTAGCTCTAGCTATATATTCTTGTAAGAATTGTTTCGTTTTATAAGAAATGTTTCGTTTTCCTATCTAACCGATGTGAGATCTTAGACCATCGTCCTCGACACCATTTGTAATAGTCCAAGCCCACCTTATGGGCTTCTCCCAAACATTTCAAAACGACCTAACAGGGAGAGATTTCTACACAAAATATTTCATTTTACTCTCCAACCGATGTGAGATCTCACAAGAATGAAACAAGATTGTGACCCTCAAAACTTAAAATGCTAATGTATGAAGGTACAAAACAAGAACGAAACGAGCTTGCAACCTTGGAAATTTAAGCTAAGAAATGAAAGTAAAGAACTAAAATAGAAGGAAGATAAAGTTTGTCGGTTACCTCTGAAAGATTGGGATTTGAGGGGAAACAAGTATGTTTGTGTTCTAGTGCCTCGTTGTTGTCTGTCGATGTCCTGTGGAGGTGCAGAAGATTTCTATGTTATATGTTCCATAAAATAAATTTGTTAGAACTATAGAAGCATTAAATACCTGATCTGTTGTCACCCAGTGATCCATAGGGGTTGGAAAAGAAAGCTCTGAAGGAGGTTTCTTCTCAGCCAGGGATATTGAAAGCTCACAGTGATGGCGTAGAGGAGGGGGGTGGGATAGGGATTTAATTGAAGAAACATTACTATTATTCTATTTATAAAAAGATAAGAGAAGAAAAGAAAAAAGTCAAAAACTTTTTTCACACAATTTATTTAGGGAATAAAAGAGAAGTGGAAGTTAAAAATATGCTTTGCATGAAATTCATGGGTTTGGAAGCTTGAAGGAAAGTATTCTTTCTTTTCTTTCCTTTCCTTTCCTTTCCTTTCCTTTCTAAACCATTTTGCTGCTGATATCTTTGTTCAAAAGTCAGGAATTTCTACCTTTTAAAAGAGCTGGAAAAACCCAGATTAATAAATCTTCTGGTTCCTAAGGCTTGCTGCTGGCTGGCTGGCTGTCATGTATTCAAAATTCTGGACTAAAATAATGAGTTGACGCCTAACAAAACTGTGTATGAACTACAAAGCTAAAGCTGCTCCCACTTAAAGAAAAGAAAAGAAAAGAAGCCTTTGGGTTAAACATGAAAAAAGAAGCTTGAAATTGAATAAAGAATGGTGGATGTGGTGGTTTAAACGAGGAATTCTGCGTCTGAAACTTCAAGAGCTTTGTGAACGCCTATTGGCTTCACTTGTTGCCAACAGGCATTACTCACGATGAACCTATCGATTATATATGTAAAATAAACCAAAGATAAGAAGAAATAACTCACATCTCTTTCAATAATGGATGTTTGTAAAAATCATCTGGAATTCTCCCACTAAATTGGTTGTAGTCCAAGAACCTGTGTGTGAACAAAAGTTCCTATTTTATGAATATCTTAACGAGCAAAGGATAATGCAGAGCATAAGACTGAAGATTGTTCCTATGTAGAGTGAGAGGAAGGCAGAAACTGCAGGTGTTGGTCAAGATAGCATGAAATGTGAAAAGACATGGAACCACGTTACAAACAGGCTTGAAAAATATAATGTTAAGTGTATTGTGTTTTAAAATCTTGAGAGAAAGCCAGGAAGGGAAAGCCCAAAGAGGACAATATCTGGCTAGCGGTGGGCTTAGGGTATTACAAATGGTACCAGAGCCAAGTTTTGGGCAGTGTGCCAGCGAGAACCCTGTACCTCCTGTACTTCTAAGGGAAGTAGATTGTGAGATCCCACATTGATTGGAGAGGGAAACAAAACACTCCTTCCTAGTATACGTGTTTTAAAATCTCAAGAGGAAGCCTAGAAAGGAAAGTCTAAAGAAGGCATGAGTTGTTACTGACATACACTTTGGCATCTATTTGCTCACCTTTAGATTCAATCACAATCAATAAACTTACATAATAGACTACATACAGGTTGCGAAGAGATGGAAAGCAGGCATCAATGCGTGTGATTGTTACCAACATCCCTATCAATAGCACAATCAGAGTTATCAGGCCTGAGAGACTAGCAATGTAATTGGAAGATAAGATCTGTCAACAGTACAAGACAGTGAGAAAGTTACAAGTGGCGAAGATGTTGCAGGGTTCCTAATTCAGAAGGAACTCGCCCAATGAAACGATTATGTTGGAATTTCTCCCTTTAAATTCTATAGAATAATTTTCAACTACCAATTCAGCCTCTCACATAATACACCAAATAACCAAAAGAACCAAAAATAATAAAAAAAGAAAAAAAGAAACCAAAACATCAGAGCAAATATGAAAGAAATCCTAGACTAGAATATGTAATTTACCACTGAAGTATGGGTGGTCAACCCGAAGTTTTTATCCCATGAATCCAAAGCCGAGCCAAATCAATTTGGGTTCAGAAAAATGAACCTAATCCAATTCGAAATGCTAATCTAACCCAACCCAACCCCTATAATTTGGGTTGGGTTCGTTCGGATTGTCGGATTGAATATACACCCCTAGATGAACTAATATACTTCCATGTCAAGACACCACATGTCAAAACTATTTTGTCTCAAACAACAAGAACCCGAGTTTTGGGATAAAAGAAAGCAACAAGCACCAAAATGTGGATCAAAGTTATGACAAGATAGATACACAAGCAGAGACAAAAGCAAAATCTTGACAGAGAAAATCAATAGTTTCCCACGGGTTTATTGCTTCATTAAAAGATTTGGTATTGCACGAAGAAACAAAATTATCAAATACATTTTGGGAAGGAAATACTTACAGACAGCGTAGTAAGATCCAAAAGATTAGTTACAGCAGTGGGAAACGCATCATACAGACAGTACCCAATCATACAATTTAGTAACCACTCTGTAATCTCCTTGAGTAGAACAAGTGACACCAGACCAAGCAGGAAGATCACCATCGCCACACGGATCATCTCTCCAACCCATGAATACACCACTCTCCAGCCAAGAGAAGCCTGTTAGATGAACACGACTCTCCACAATGGTATGATATACTTTGAGCATAAGCTCTCATGGGCTTCCCCAAAAGGCCTCAAACCAATGGAGTTAGTATTCCTCACTTATAAACTCATAATCATTCCCTAAATTAGCCAACGTGGGACTTTCATCCTCCAACAAAGCCGTGATCTCATTCAATGCTTTAACTGCAAAAACACAAAATATTCCGTCCCTTGAAACCCATAGAGAAAAAAAAAAAAAATCACAAGAAAAGGTAATAATGTCGTCAATACCATCTCGTTTAAGTGTTTTACAGAGAACAGAATCGTTGAGCAGAGAGAACAAGATCAGGAATACAGAAAACGCGGGCAGTGAAAGTCGCCACGCCATTATTTCAGATTTGTGAGTTCCTTAACTTCGAGAAGTTAATGGAATTTGAAAATGCAGAGATGAAATCGATGCTGGTTTGATAGATCTGCGTGAAGAAACGATTATGAAAACTTGCGCGCCTCAAACAGAGACTCTCAGTTTTTTTTTTCACTACGAACTCTGTTCTCTCGAGTTCGCTCCTCCAGGAAACTCGGAAAGGCCGATATTAATCCGTGGATTAACTTGCTTAACCTCATTAATTATTGTTACTATTATCATAAATGAAATATAAATAATCAAATTTGAAAAAAAAAAAGAAAAAAAGAAAATTTAGTTTAAGAACAATATCTACTAATATCTTTATTATTCGATCATTACCAGTTTCAAATTAATTTTATTTTACTAGTTTAATGCTCACGTAATCTCTAAGGTTCGTTAGAAATTACTATATTAAATTTCTTTTATTATATTTAAACAATTAAATAGATCTAAAATAATATGGCCGAATTCTATATAAAATGACTAAAAAATCCACTAAATTTAAATTTACTCTGTCATGTGCTACTTTTTATTCATAATTTTATTTGAACGGGCCCTCTCTCTCTCGAGCTTCTGGAGTGCTTTCTGTGCTAAGAGTTGTATTCCCCGAAGCATCACAGACGAACTTAATCGTCTCGCGGCGTGGCTCACTTAAATGGATACACTCATGTCCAATAGTTTGATGATGTTTCTTGAATGAATACTTAAATAATTCAAAATGCTCGTCATTTCTACGTTTACTCATTAAGTCATTTTGATTAGAAGCTTACATTTCGCTCGTATTTCTTTTAATACAATGGACAACAGCGAACCAACCTGCCTCAAATTTCTTATTATATATTATTTCTTTCATTAATGAGAGTTTGAATAAAAATTAGGTAATATTTGCATGGGTTAATAAATATTGAAAAATAAAGATGATCTGAACCGTTGAACTAAAGATGGGAATGATCAACCGATGATGTTTAACGTACATGATGAAAGTGAGAGCAAAAAATTGAATGAAGAGTGAAAATGATTGCCAACTATACCCTTGGCCAATGGACAGGTCCCTCAAGCCAGTCCGTCCCTTCTGTCAATAAGGCCATAATAATATTTCCCCCCCTCATGAGTCTCTTGCTCTGCATTTAAACTTCTTCCCTTTCACTTTCACCATCTCTTCTCCTTTCTTCATCTCCTTTCTTCCCCCCGTCCTTTTCTCTCTGTATCAGAAACTCAAAATGAAAGCCTCTCTTTCTCCCTCTTCATCTTTTGCCACCAATGGGCAGCTCATCATGATGATCTTGATAGTTTTATTCCTCTTCGTCTTCTCTTCTACGGCCGCCAGACTCTCCAATCATCCACCTTCCACCACCGTGCCAGAAGCTTCTCCGATCACCCCTCGCCACCACTCGCCTCACCACAAACAACAGCTTCATCCTTGTGATGCTCTCACTCGCGAAAACTCACGTTCTTTATGTATCCACCTTCATAGAGTTTACCAACATCGCCTCCCTGTCTACCTTCCACCGCTGCCGCTGCCATTGCTGACACACAATCAAATTGACCCTCAATACGGCGTCGAGAAGAGACTCGTGCCATCCGGGCCAAACCCTCTTCACAACTGAAACAAGAGAGAAAGAGAGAGCAAAGAAAGAGCAAAAAGAATCTTTCTTTACCAAGACGGCCATTTCTCTTCTCAGTTTTCTCGCTATTCCAGTACAACATATATCATCCACCCTTTTCTTCTTGAGTCCTATTAGTTAAGAATCAAGAAGAATATATAATCCTCGTATGTGATCGACGAAGTCAGAAGAAGACTATGCTAATTAGTGGACGAGTTTTTGTTCAATGTCGTATTGTCTTGTTCTCTTTCTTTCTTTCTTTCTTTCTTTCTTGGTTCGTTCAGGTTATTGTTGCTATTTCCATTCTTGTTTTTGCGTCCAAGTGTTCGAGTTCATTTTGATGTGGAAAAGTGGCAAAAACAAGCATGGAAATGACAAGGTATTTACTTTAAGATTTGGGCTCCTTTTTTTAGTATTAAAGAAAAAGAAGACAAGTTCATAGGTGGTCGGGTCCGGAGGTAAGATTCAAAAGAAACCCATGAGTTTCATTAATTTTGGAGGTATAAGGTACAGATTGCCGACATGGCAGGATTCATGAGGTTTTCTTTCTTTGGAGGGGTACTATGGAAATTTCATATATCTTTTACTGTTTATGGAATTAATGTAATTTTGCTGTATAGGTTGTGTACTGTCTGAATCTATGGAAACATAATGTATGTAAAAGCCCCTTCTGAGTCTCTCTTACCTTTTTATCTTTTTTACTGTAGTTTTTTTATCTTCCATTTTTGGACAGTTCACGTAAAAAAGAAAAGAAAAGAAAATGGTATCTAACTCTTATTGTCTAAATTCATGGCTGCTATCTATCTTCAACAAGAGGAAGGAACAGGCTTTTTCCTTGAAAGAATAGAAGCAATGTACTTATTATAAACTAAAAAATCACATGAGAAAAGAACAGAAGAAGTACACAAACTATTAAAGAATGTTTGAACGAAATGATTCCAGCTAGAAACAAAGAGAAGGGAAGAATTAGAGTGTCTGATTTTACTACCCAAGCAAACGGCGAGCTCGTTGATTGGCGCCTTTCACTCTAGAATTCAGCTCGTCGACATCGTCGCTTAGATGATCCAGAGCTTTGTTTTGCCTGCATTTTCCAGAAAATATTCATTCAGAGCTATGTAATAATACAGCAATCTCTAAATTGAGTAAAAGATGGATGGCATGTATGACTACTTGTCAAGCTCGCTTCCCATGTCCACGGCCATGTTCTTCAGATCACCCAAGATATTACTTAAATCTGAGAGTGCATCATCTTGCTTTTCCTTCTCATCCTGAAAAAATATTCTTACCCATTGTTTAAATCTGAAACCATAATAATGACTATAAACTCCTAAGATAGTGAATTGATAACAGCCGATGCTCTCACCTCGACCTTTTGCATTGCGCCAGATGATTCGGAAGGTGGTGTTCGAGTAGCCGATTTCTTTTTGCCCGTAGATAAACCCAGTTTTTCCCTTTCTTCCTTGTTGTTTTCAGTTCTCCCAGATGAATTATCTGGACGGCCATTATGGACATAATCAATAGCGGATAAAATGGGAGAAGCAGTAAGTTATAGGAATGGCAGTGTTAGAAGAACCAATGAAAATATAACCTGCTGTTATGAGAGGGCCTGTAATTTCTTTGGTTTTCTTTGGCTTCCATGGCTTAGAAAACATGCCTCCAAGATTATTCAGAAGTTTCTCTCCCTACAATTAATAGTAATGAAAAGGAAACTATTAACAAATGGAAAGAACTCATACAAAAGCAAAAAGTAAAAGTAAGACAAAATCACTTCATTCAGTTTCTGGCTAGGATATCAGATTCCTTGCAAACTAAAATGTTATTAGTTATCCCATGATTCAATCTATCCATCGTTTCATTCATGAGGAGTTGGATGAGAAGAAACTCTCATATCTGATTCTGTAGTAGAGATGGAATTGAGAAATAACCATCAACTATAACCCGAAAAGAACCAAATTTCGTAAATACCATAGAGGAAGAAGGAAAGGAATATCTTATCGATGCAATCGTATTTGCTTCGGTAACATGCAAGCCAAGTACAGTTCACTTTCAAATTTTGAATACTCTGATTCTCTTTTTAAATACATCAAAACAACATGGGCCAATTAATCATTTCAGGATAAATGTGTCGATTGAAAACTAGTAAAAAGCCTACCTTACTTAGATCTTTATCCATATCAGCAGCCATCCTGTGGGTCCTCTCAATTTGCTCACCTTGCTGATGCAACATGTCAAGGGTCCTGGTAGCATCACTCCTTATGTCCTCAGCGATCTTCAGGCAGTTATTAACAGAATTTGTGGTCTCCTCAGCTTTATATACGGCATAGTTCTCCAATTCCTGCACACTCTGGCTCTCAAATCCTCCCGAGTCACGAAAATCATTTTTGTATCCGTTTATAGAGGCTGAAGAAGTTGCATTTTTGTATCCGTTTTTAGAGGCTGAAGAAGTTGCAGTACCTCTTCTTCCAACAAAACCATCATCATCGTCATCATCATCAAAAGGATTGGGGGAAATGGAGTTCAGTATAACAAGCGCAGGCTCGGAAGAAGTTCTTCTTGCAGGATTGAGAGGTTGGTTGGTTTCAGGTTCAGTATCTGAATCAAAAGGATTAGTACCGGATCCGGCTAATCCAGGATCTACAGAATTCTGCTTAGAAACTTTCGCGGGGGATTTCATGAAACTAAACATCCTGGCTGTACAAAGAGACTTGAATTTTAATGAACTATTAGCTAAGCAGCTCTAAAACAAGGGATCTGGTGAATATAGCTGGTACCTGTAAAATGGTATTAAGAAGATCTACTTAGGAGAAGGCCATCAATTTCAAATCGAAAATAACTCTAAGATTACAGTAGATTGGCAAAATATATATTAATAAAATAACACTACAGTTTTTCCATTTGAAGACTATAAAAAAAGAAATTGGAAATAAGAATGCAGAACGCAATTCTAGCATAAACTAGACTGTAAGATTAGGGATTGAAAGCTAAACCAAGCACATATTCTAAGCAATTTGGCCGATAACGATACAAATTAACAATTTGAACGGAAAATGAGGGTTCAAAGACGTAGAAAAATTTACAGAAATGCAGTGTAAATACGAATATAAGATCAACAGATAGATGAATTACCAAATTCATGAACTGGAAATAGAACCCCCAACAAACACAATCGAGAAGGGGAAAGTGAGAGAGAACGATACCTGAAAAATCGAAGCAGGAAGAAAAATTGAAAGGAAAGTGAAATAATGGGTCGTGTTCTTGAGGATTTTCAGTGCGTTCAATCCTTTAACACAGATAGAATTGAAAATGGCGAAACAGATCGATGGGAGGCGACGCGGAAAATCTGAGAACTGTACGCTCCCACTCGCTACAAAACATAAGAAATATTTTGAAATTCGTTCTCCTGCCCTACAAATTTAGACCGTTGGGATTCTCGATTGGGATTTTTCTTTTTTCCTTTCATTTATTTAAATTTTGTCGAGAGTGCGCGGCGCACGTGCGTCCCCATTTTTAGCACGTATCACTTTTTTTTTTAATAATTATTATTTTAACTCCACCTCTAATTACAATCCAACCTTCATTTGAAAATCAAAACTTTTATGGTTTAATGTTGTATTTTTCAAAATTTACAGAGTTCTAATCAGATTATACCTCAATGCATTCAAACATTATAATCCTCAAGATATACTGGTATATAATTACAATCCGTCTTTACTCAATGGATATAAAACACCCATTCTTTAGCACCTAGTATAACGGCCCGGTGCAACAACATGCACCAGTTTGACTTGGGGAAGGGGATCTTTCAATGGAGAAGATTTGTCGACCTAAGACGAAAAGAAGGGTCTATCTATTTTATTTAGTTATTCAGTTAAACGAATAATTCGTTATTGTAACAGATAGCAACAAACATTTCATCCGGGAAAAGCTATCTTTTTCTCAACAATGTCTTTGTCATTTGATCCAATAGCGTTCCGTTAAATAGGAACAGATTTGATGATTTAGTGGCATTGGACGGCAAAATATCTTTCAAAACTGTCCTATGAATAGAATTTCATTTGAAGGTGACTAGAATACTTTTCGATTAACCCATTCTAAGAATTTTTGTTTAATATTTCAACAAATTTTCTACTCCAACACTATTTTAAAAGATTAGGAGTAGTATTGTTTTTTTAAAAAAAAAAAAATACAAAATACAAAATTTGAAGAGTAATTTGTAAATAAAATTAAGCACTTTAATTTTTATATTTTAGAAAAAGGTAGATATTTTTATTGGTCGGTGAGTGGCTCAACTTGCAAAAATATCATTTGAAAGAGCCCAAAAAAATTGGACCATCTAATGTGAAGCCCTGAAATTTTAATTTTAATTTTAATTTTCGTCAAAAATATCTAAATTTATAATATATCCTTAAATTGAATATATAATTCACACGAAAAAATTATTAGAGTTTAGGTGAGTACGTACGTATGTGTGGACTCAACTTAGCTTAGATTAAGACTGATTTTGAGCACGTTGTCCAAATTTATTTAATTAAGTTCTAATTTTACCTTAAATTATAAATCTTCGATTGGATACTTGTTCACGCTTTCATTTAAAATTACCTCTAATTTCAATAATATAATTTATTTCGGAATATAATAAATATAATTTTTGGAGTTAAAAAAAAATGTTGTTTCAAAAATAAATAAATTTATTTTTATTATTGATTTTGAGGCGATTTAAATAATAATAATTAAAAAAAACGTGGGCAAAGTTGTGGGTCCCACTTGACGTTGAGGTCTCTTATCTCCCGCGCTTCTAACGTGCGTCTGGTGACCCGCCAAGACTGAACTCTCAGCACTCACAAATACTGGAGATAAGAAACAGAATACCTTCCTTCTTCGTCTTCCTCACAAAGAGTCGCAATGGCGGGATTGCGATTATCATGGACCTGCGCTCATTCTAATCCTGAGTCCTCAAAATTCCTCTCTCGTTTCACTGCAGAGTCCAGTTTTCGGTGTACTTGGACGAGGCTTCCGTTGTTTAGAACTTCGGTTTCGAGTTCTGCAAGAAGGAAGCTATGCATTAGGAACGTAGCCAACGATCAACAAAAGGAACTGAAGGAGCGCGTCAACGGAGAAGGTAAATTGCGTGAAACTGACTTGAGATTTCATCCGACGATTGTATCTGCAATGATGTGAATGCATACGTGTTTGTCGATGGAATTGACTTCCCAAATTATTGAGAATTTTTCTTCCTATAGTTGTAGACGACTGCGATACCTTTTTTCCAGATTCGGAATCCATTGCTGCTAGTATTAAGTACCATTCGGAATTCACGCCTTCTTTCTCTCCGGAGGGCTTTGGGCTTTCTAAGGCATTCTATGCTACTGCTGAAAGTGTTCGTGATATGCTTATCATCAATTGGAATGCTACGTATAACTACTATGAAAAGATGAATGTGAAGCAAGCCTACTATCTGTCTATGGAGTTTCTACAGGTTCTTGTCAACACAGAATCACTGATTATAGTTTGCAACTTATTTTGAATCTGCGAGAAGCCTGTTAGATGACATTGATGTGAGTTTGTTTGATATTATGGTTTGATTGCAGGGTAGGGCATTGCTAAATGCAATTGGAAATTTAGAACTATCAGGAGCTTATGCAGATGCTTTAAGAATGTTAGGATGTAATCTCGAGGAGGTGGCAGAGCAGGTGAGAGATATATCCGATAATTGCACTTGGTCTCTTTGTTTCCTGCTTCGTTGAACGGCTTTCAATTTCTGGATTTATGGAGTTTCTTTCCTATACAAACTCGCGGCTGTAACTTAATAGGCGAGGAAGAATGTTGTACGTCAATTTCTGGTCTTCAATAGAGGTTATCAAAATAATGGTACATGGACTTAGGAAACGTAGGATTATTCTCGTCACATGGATAAAACAATTTCAGATCTAAGATGAACTGGCCTGAGTGAGTTACATATTTAGATTTTGTCACTAAAGAGCTCTAATATCCATTAAACATCGTTCATTAAAATAAGAGGAATGTTGTCCAGAAAAAGATAGCAGAATCTAAAAGGAGCAAGTTTCTTCAAATGGAAAACTAACCTAACAAGTTTTCTAAATTGTACTGTGTGAATTTATTTACTGATATACATATGGTCGGTGTCAATGGATATCTTGATTGTAGGAATCAGATGCTGCACTAGGAAATGGAGGATTAGGGCGGCTTGCTTCCTGCTTTTTGGACTCCCTGGCAACATTGAACTATCCAGCATGGGGATATGGACTCAGATACAAGTATGGTTTGTTCAAACAGCTCATTACAAAAGATGGACAGGAGGAAGTGGCTGAAAATTGGCTAGAGGTACAATAGTATTTATTCTATCTGGGTAACTCGAAGCAAGTCTTAAGTTCTTGACTGCTGCTGGTTAACATGGTTGGTGGTCTCGTGATTCATGTGTTGAAGAATCAATTTTGTTTCTTCAGATGGGCAATCCCTGGGAGATTCCAAGAAACGACATCTCCTATCCTGTGAAATTCTATGGTGAAGTCATTTCTGGCGCAGATGGAAGTAAGCAATGGGTTGGAGGAGAAAATGTAACTGCTGTTGCCTATGATGTTCCAATACCAGGTTATAAAACTAAAACCACCATAAACCTCCGTTTGTGGTCCACAAAGGTTGCTCCCGAACAGTTTGATTTGAATTCTTTCAATGTTGGAGATCATGCCAATGCATATGCAGCCATAAAGAAAGCTGAAAAGGTATGGAAATTTCATGAACCTGCTGAAGCTCTGTTTCATTTTTTATCATCTTCTCAGCACCTTATGTAGCTTCTATTTCTCAATGCAAAATTCAGCTATTATTTAGGCCATTGATTGTCCTTAAATAAATAGTGCACTGACTGCTTTTAGAATCTTCCACACTACTAGGCACATTCAAATTTAAATTAATTAATGATGCATCGTATATATTGATAACTCCAAGTGGTTAACTGGAGAAGATTCTAACGTTCCTGTTCTGCAAGATCTGTTACGTACTGTACCCCGGAGATGAATCACTGGAGGGAAAGACTCTTAGACTGAAACAACAGTACACATTGTGCTCTGCTTCCCTTCAAGATATTGTCGCACGTTTTGAGAGGAGATCCGGGGAGTCTGTGGACTGGGAAAATTTTCCAGAAAAGGTAGCTGTGCAGATGAATGATACCCATCCTACACTCTGTATCCCGGAGCTGATAAGAATATTGATGGATGTGAAAGGCTTGAGCTGGAAAGAAGCTTGGGACATCACGCGAAGGTTTTCTTTTATTGGCTTACTGGCATATAAATATTTTTGCTGCTACTATAAAATCAGTTGTGATACGTTTTCCTCATCTAATTTGGTTTTCCATTTTATACTCTTTAGTGTGATTTATGCACTTGCCAATTCCTTAATAATGCAAAGAACTCCCCATCATAAAAGATCAAAAGTTTATACGAAAGACTGAATGTTCAGATTATTTTAATTCTATGCTCCTTTGTTTGTTTTGTTACTTCCCTACTTTTTTTTCTTTCCCAGGACTGTCGCCTACACAAATCATACAGTTCTGCCCGAGGCGCTGGAAAAATGGAGTTTCCCCCTCATGCAGGAATTATTTCCTCGACATGTTCAGATAATTGAAATGATTGACAAGGAGGTAAGGATATCGATAGGTTGACCTTTGATGATTACGAATATGACTACAAATGCACTACACATGCACCGAATTCTCCGTAACGTACCTTCTTCCAGATAATGAAGTAAAATATATTATTTTTGGTGGCTTCAGCTCATCCATTCCATCATTGCTCAGTACGGTACAAAAGATCTTGAGTTGTTGCAACAAAAGCTGAAGAAAATGAGAATTCTAGAAAATTTTGAATTACCAGACTCGGTCATGGAACTGCTAGTAAAATCAGCGGAGGAGCCTGCGGTCGATCTCGTTGAGGAAGCTGAAAGTATAGATGAGGAATCGTTACCTGATAAAGAAGACGAGTCTGAAGACAAAGTTACTGTAAATAAAGTAGATGCTTCGTTTAAAGTTGATCCAAAGCATCCAAGGATGATTCGCATGGCTAATTTGTCTGTTGTTGGTGGGCATGCTGTAAATGGTGTTGCTGAAATTCATAGTGAAATTGTTAGAACCGAAGTTTTTAGCGACTTCTATGAGGTAAATCCCACTGATGGCACAGCCTTCTCAACATACTATTGCGGACATGAAACTGTGCTTTTTTTTCCATTCTAAACATTACTCACATTTTATATATCATCTATTGTCAGTTGTGGCCTGAGAAATTCCAAAATAAAACGAACGGAGTGACACCGAGAAGATGGATTCGTTTTTGCAATCCGGATCTGAGTAGAATCATCACAAAGTGGACTGGAACGGAGCACTGGGTGACAGATACTGAGAAACTGGCAATATTACGAAAGGTAAAACTGGTAAAAACCGAAACTTTTCAAGTCTCTACTCTGCAGCTTGAGAAAATTAGGTTTGATGTTAATGTGATGGATGATTGTATATGCAGTTCGCTGATAACGAGGATCTCCAGTCCATATGGAAGGAAGCTAGAAGAAGAAACAAATTGAAAGTTGTCTCTTTTCTTGAAGAAAAAACTGGTTATTTAGTCAGCCCTGATGCAATGTTTGATGTACAGGTAATTTTCTGTCCTTCGATGGTTAACTTTGTAGATAAAAACTTCAACAATTTTCACCTTCTGCAGGGAGCTCATACTGTAGAAACTTTTATTTTCTCATTCGTACTACGACCAAAGTGACAAGGACCACTCGCTCGTTTTTTCAACTACGTTGTTCATAAAATTATCGTTGCTTATATGCTACTTCTAAGATTAACACTAGAATATGTATATTCAGATTAAACGCATCCACGAATACAAGCGGCAGTTGTTGAACATCCTGGGGGTGGTCTATCGTTATAAACAAATGAAAGAAATGACTCTCGAGGAAAGAGAAGCTAAGTTTGTTCCTCGAGTCTGTATCTTTGGCGGGAAAGCATTTTCCACATATGTCCAGGCCAAGAGGATTGTAAAATTTATTGTTGATGTTGGAGCTACCGTCAATAACGATAGTGACATAGGAGACCTTTTGAAGGTATATTGTGGCAGACAAATATCATAAAATATTGTTCTCTTGCCTCGAAAGTGTTAGCTACAGAAACCAATGTTGGCTTTACCGATTTATGGGCACTTCCGGATTTAAAACTTGTTTTTGTTACAGGTAGTCTTTGTTCCAGACTACAACGTGAGTGTAGCAGAAGTGCTCATTCCTGGTAGTGATCTATCCCAGCATATCAGGTAGTAAACTGACAAGTTTGGATAATCTTGCTAGCCTTCAATTTTAATCTCATCCGATCCAACATTAAACTAATGAAATTATTATATTGAAAAAAAATCGAGGCTTATTCCTTTTGGGGCCACTACACTTGGTTTGGTAGGTTAGTCTTCAATATTACTTTTCTGGTTTTGGTATTGACTTCTGCACTGTTTTTTTCATGTCATGTAATTCGATTTTGAAAAGCACGGCGGGAATGGAGGCCAGTGGAACCAGCAACATGAAGTTTGCGATGAATGGCTGCATACTAATTGGAACATTAGATGGGGCAAATGTGGAGATAAGGGAAGAGGTTGGAGAAGACAACTTTTTCCTCTTTGGTGCAAGGGCGCATGAAATTGCTGGTCTAAGAAAAGAAAGGGCTGAAGGGAAGGTAAGCTTAGAAACTCTTCGTTGGAGACCAAGCAGGATTGGTAGTAATCTTTTAAACATAAAAGCTCAATGATTAAGGGAAAAAGTATGCTTTCATCCCTTGAGTTTGAGAATAGTACGACGTTCTGGTAACTAAAATTTCAAATATGATAGTTTAATCCATGAAATTTCACAAATGGTTTAACTTAGACTTCGGAATTACTATTTTGTTATTAACACTGGAGAAATATAACCTGACAAGTTAAACCAAGACCTAGTTTGTTTATGTGATTATTTTATCTTTTAGATTACTTGGAAATGTCATTGTTATTATTATTATTATTATTTTCTTATATGACTTTTTGCTCTTCTTTTTATGCTATGTTAGGAGAAGAATGTCAACAGAGTTATTGCTTCCTTTTTTTGTAACTGTCAACTTGTGAAAAACTGTCACCACCAGGAAATAATTCGAACCATTTTTCATAGTTTTTTAAAAGCCAAACATTTCATACACTTGAAAAGGGAACCAAAATTTTCTATTAAGTTTGGTAGCATATCTCATGATTCTGATTTTATGGATAGTTTGTTCCTGACCCACGGTTTGAGGAAGTGAAGGACTTCGTAAGAAGTGGGGTTTTTGGTCCCCATAACTATGAAGAACTCATGGGATCTTTAGAAGGAAATGAAGGTTTCGGTCGGGCAGACTATTTCCTCGTTGGCAAGGACTTCCCTAGTTACATAGAGTGCCAAGAGAGGGTTGATGAGGCCTATCGAGATCAAAAGGTATGCACCAGATTCTACACTATGCTATGAAGCCATGCTGCTAATCTTTTAATGTTTACTTGTACTTTACAGAGATGGACCAAGATGTCGATCTTAAACACAGCTGGTTCATACAAGTTCAGCAGTGACAGAACCATTCATGAGTATGCAAGAGACATATGGAAGATTTCTCCACTACTGCTATCTTAAAAGGTTTTGTTTCTTTTCTTTTTCCTGGAAAATTTGCTCTACAACTCATTGCTATTGTAATTTCCAAATAACATAGGAAGACAAAAACAGGATATGGACTTGAATATCTTAGCTTATTCAAAATTAAAGCTACTTCATTGCATAAGAAGTTCGTCACTGAAGAAGTTAAACCCACTGGAACAGTCCTAAAAAATTCGCTGGTTAAATCAATATACTATCCTCTGAGCTCTGTTTAGGTTTTGTTACATAAATCAGGATCATTCCTAGAACTTGAATTCTCTAGTGAATTCAACTAAGATCACTGCAATCCTACACTAAATTCATGGCAAAAACGAAAAGGGAAAAATAGAGAAATTGGTCAGGAGTTCTTTGTATTGGAAATTATAAAAAGGATAAAAGAAAAAAAGAATTAACATCACGTCTAGGAATTGTGTAACCTCTCCATCTTCAAGCCAATTAAATCCCAAATATTTGGACATGATACCAAATTTGGAAAAGAGGATGAGCTCTAATGTTGTGTGTCAAAAAAAAAAAAAAAATCTGTATAAAATCTAGGAACCTAAAAGAATGAGAAAGACAAAAAAAAAAAAAAAAAAAAAAAAAAAAAAAAAAAAAAAAAAAAAAAAAAAAAAAAAAAAAAAAAACGAATACCAAAAACTTGCCCTACAGACTTCATCTGCAAGTTTGATAACCTCATATTATCAGAGGACAAGATAGAAGCATATCACAGACTTGCCTGTATTATTGGATTGGTGGCTATATACTCCTGGATCCTTGATCAGACTCATCAGCAACTTAGCATTTCTTTTCTAGTTGTCTCCAAACTACTAATGCAATTAACCCCATCTCCCACTTTCCTCTTCTTCCATAGGAGCAGGAACATTAAGATCAATTAGACCAGTGACCCCATTTGACTCTTGCCTTGTCACAATAGATGCATCTTCTAAACTTCCGACCACATGGGACCTCTTATGACCACCCAAAGCCTGGCCGGATTTGAAAGCTTTGGAACAAATTGGGCACTTATGTTTCCTTTTGGGCCCTAATTTCTTCTCTTCATTTCCAGAAGTGTCCTGTTGACTCTTGTTTTTGCCACTGCTTGACTCGATTATCTCCCTAGCTGGTATGGAGATAGAATTGGTAGTGATGTTTACACTGTTTTCACCTGATTGATGCGTCCACTCGTATCCATTGCTCATTCTTGTTTGGCTTTCTCTGTGATGTTGTGTACGAACTATCCCGCTTTGGATTGAATAATCATTACTTATCTTCCTGCTGGAACCCTCCCAGAGATCAGGGCTATATAAATCATTTCTCAACCTCTTTCTTAGCTCGTACTTGTAAGAAGCTGCAGGCACTTTATCATAATTCTTTTGAGTCTTCATCGAATTCTTTAGAATATCTGCACTTGATCTTCCTATCCTGACTCCAAATTTGACATCCGGTATCTTATATTCGTCATCCATAAAAGGTCCATTAATAGACACTTTCAATTTAACCTTCTTGCAGAGTTCTTCTCTGAAATTTCCAGAGTTGGAATTCTCGCCGCCGTATTCAGAATGTGTCTTCATTTCTAATCTCCCATTAGAGTTGGAGGTAGATGTGTCACTTTCTCTAAAATGGCGAGAAGATGATTTGCTATCAGAAGATTCCGAAACTGAATTCAGACCTTCCAATCCTGAAAATCTCAAAGCTTTAGACATCATCATTAAGCTCATTGCCGCTTCTTGTACTCTTTCGTCCGATTGATTTCCTATAAGATCCCGCTTCTGATGAATGATCCTGTAATCATATTCAAGCCTTTTGTTATCCCTCTTGTTTTCAGAGTGACAATCCAAGTGGTAACACAAAGCTTCTGAGGACTGAAACCCTTCGCCACATTCTCTGCAAAACTTCTCCTTCCTTGAAGTGAATACCGAATCAGCAAACCTCCGTGTTATTTTGGGGTTCTCTCTCAATCCGTAGCCTGAATTCCCATTGGCAACCTCAGATTCTAAATCTCTCTTGCTTCTCCTCCTCTCTAATGGAACTTGAAGCTTCACGATGCTTGTTCTTTCCTTTTGTTTCTCTGCAACTCGTGGTGCTTTCTCATTCTTGTGAATTCTTATATGACCTCCCAAGGACTTCCCACATGTGAAGATTTTGTGGCAAAAGTTGCATACAAACTTGTTTTCCTTAGAATTCTCCATGGATATAATGCATACGATCATAATCAAAGAAACCCAGTTAGAACAAGAAGATCACTTCAGCATCTGCTGCATTCTCTTGATCTTTGAAAGAAAAAAGAATCCAGATTTGGTTTGCGTGGAAAGGATCGAGAAATTTCTGTATAGTTCCTTCTAGGTGTGAAAAATCTTGGACGAGAGCAAGATCTGACCCCAAAAAAAAAAAAAAAAAAAAAAAAAAAAAAA